CCGCTTTTCCCGTGATCCTTGCCCGTCGTCCTCTTCTATGTTACGGCATCACAGCACACCACTTTATTTTTTTTTTTTTGCCCCGCGCCCCACCCGCCGCTCTGCACGTCGTGTCGGTCTCACCGTGCGGTGTTTCTCGTGTCATTCCGGTGCGCACCAGGGCGCATCCGTCCCAGGTGAGCGCCCAGGTGAGTCCGCTGGGGCCGCAGCTGATCTGACTAGCCTCACTGCCGCGCGGAGTGGCCACCGGCAGCCAGGAGACGCCCTCGGGCGACAGCCGGCCCACGCCGCTCCGGAATATCACCTGGATGGGAGGGAGCGGTGAGGTCAGGGACCAGAGCACGGACGGAGCGGCAGCGGTCAGAGATCGGAGTGGCGCACTTTGAGACTGGCACAATCAACTAGAGCAGCAGAAATCCCAGCTTTGCATCAAGCTGGAATCACCTTTCAATGAAAAAATCAAATAAATGACAAAGATGCAATTGCCGCAGTTAGACGCTGCTCGGTGCTCAGTGCTCAAACTTCAACATTTCTTTGGTATCTGTTGGCCACTCGCAGTTCTAAGCTCCTACACCTGATGAGTGACAGTGACTGCCTCGCTGCTCAGCTGCTCACCCGTCCTCGGATGGTGACAGCCCAGACCATCAGGTTATCAGGCTCCCATCCGGCCAGCTCGGACCCGCCCACGGCCACGTCCACAAACGGCTCCTCCACCGAGTCCTGGCAGTCACAGAACCCGGCAGTACACAAGGAGTGAGTGAGAGGGACCGGAGGGTCCGAGGGCATAAACGATACAGAACATAAGGCGACAGAAACCGGCGCTACTTACGCAGCCACGCGGTGTGTGACTAAGCGAGCCAACGGGTCTGACAGCCGATACCGTACAACAAACGGCGCCACACTGATGCCGGATGCATGCGCACCGGTTAAAAGTAGGTAACTTTGATACCAATGCGATACAACATAGGCAAGACAGTCTACAAAACAGCTTTTCATTAATAAGACCCGACCCCGCCCCACACACACACAGGACAGCGTGACACCAAGGTCGGTCGTACCCTGTGCAGCGGCGGTACCGACGACCATGTGTTGACGGCCACGTAGCGGCGATAGCGCACCCAGCGCCGGCGGCGCACGCACGAGGTGAACCGTTTGCACGGCGAGTAGGCGGCCGGGAAGTCGACCGCGTACGTCCAGCCCTCGGTCTCCAGCTGTGTGCCGTTCAGCGTGCTATCCAGCTGCCAGTCGCCTGGTTGCGGAGAGGGCACCCGCTTAATCAGCGCCCGACCTCGCTCACCCGATTGCCAACAGCCAATCAGTCACTGAGACACAAAGAGAGCCTCTCTAGTGTGAAATAAGCAATAACGCAACATAACTACAGGCCGATAGGTAAAGTTCAACTTTGTGTCTATTGCCCATGCCCTAAACATGTTATGCTATTTACAAATCTTGAGTGGGGACCACTCTGCCAAGTTTGTAACCATGCAACCACATGAAACTACTGCACCCCAGTGCTGCAATGCATGTGACAGGCACAGTGAACACCCACCTTCCCACTGCCAGCCAAGGGAGGGCAGGTCAACATCTGTGAAACGCCGTTCAGTTTTCCCGTCCATCGAAGAAAAGTGGTACCGATCAGTGCCCAGCAGCTTGTCACAAAACCCATCTATGGGGTTCCAGCGCTGGAAAGCAGTAAGTAGTAAGTTACCGGTTAGGTATTTACCACTGGAATGAATACCACAAGGTAGACTGAAATGTTTGATTGAAAATGTGCAGCCGCCAGCGACACAATGTCAAATTTGACCGAGCTGCCAGAGCTGTCTGATTTACCTGGTTTTCATAAGTTTCCTCCATGACTCGGATGGGGTTGTCAGTGCCGTAGATGAGCACATACACCTGCTGATCGCCTCCAATGGCCCAGAGGCTGTGCTCGGAGGCTGAGAGCCTCTTGAACTCCACTCCGAGGTACGACAGGGGCTCCCATTTTGATGATGATGTGGACAGCTCATAGATTCTTCCCAAGATGTCCACACAAAATAGGGAGGCTGGCATGGCTGCAAACAATTCCAGTTGTGAAATAAATACATCCAGCAAGACTGAGACAAAGAAAGGAGTGTAGTGTGAGCCAAGGTGCAGACCTCACTCTCAAATGCCTGCTATTGATTTTGATGGCATCATTGTTTTATAAATGACTCAGCTGTAACTATGATCAGACACTGACCTGATGACCTTGACCTGGCATGGAAAGGTCATATAATCATGCTGCCATCAGTCAAGCTGGATGATTTAGCCGAATCCATCCAAGATGTTTTTATCACTCTAGTACCAGACTGGAAAACATCCATACACTACGCCGGACGCCCGTGAAACTCTCTTGCGCTGAAATTTGGCGCAAGTGACTTTGCTCTGAAATTTCTGCATGATTTGTGCAAAAATTGGTTACCTATTTGCGCAAAATCAAGCCACTTTTATATAAAGCACATATGCGCATCTACCAATCAAGGCTATACAAACCAGACAGAGTGTTCTTGGACGCTCTCCCATGTTTGAGCGCCTGAATAAGTTTTTTTTATTTCCACGGAAACCCAAAGCCCAACACGTGAGTATGCTAGGCGCACTGTAGCGTCGTGCCGTGAAAGAAGGCCGGAGCCACAAAAATCGGTGGTTCTATAGAGCCTTGGGTGGAGCGGTGTGTTCGAGAGAGCCGGGCAGTGGAGCAGCACGTGCTCTGGCACATCAGCCTCTTCTCGACACATAGCGCAGAGCGCCGCGGGGTACCGCTTGTCTGGGCACTGCTGGCACACCACAGTGCGGACTGTGAAGACAGCCAATGTGGTAAACGTACTGGAGTGAGATGTCCCAGTGGTCCATGCTCATCTGATGCACCGAAACTGCGTCCTCTTGGTCCTCTGGGGATAGGGAGCAGCAGCGTGCTCCCGAGGAGTGGCTTGAATAGTGACTCGGACCAGTTATCGTGCCATGGATGTGAGGCCGCACAATGAATATTGAATCACCCCGAGATGCTCACCTGGGCGGTCGCTCCTCTGCAGAGTACTCCGGGTGGCTCATCAGTTCAGGCACGCAACAACCAGGTGAGGGGGGACGACTCATCCCAAAACTTCTCCAGAGCCGCCCACAGGACGAATCTGCTGCTAGACTGATCAGCGTGCCAACTGCCAACTAAGTTTGGTGACTTGTCTTTCGCCAAAAAATTATGCGGCCACCCTGCGCCAAAAATTCAGCAGCCACCATTGCCATGCTCTGAATTTGGCTAATGCAAAGTTACTCTGTAGGTGCGGGGAGCATTACGTCTAGGGGTAAATCGCTTGCCTCTAGCTTCGGCATCTGGGTTCGATTCCTGGGCAATGCACGTGGCATTGCCGCTACCTGGGCGGTGTCTCACGGGACGCTGCTACCATGCTGCTATCAAATTGCGCGAGCTGACGTCACACTTGCGGTAGTGTTGGAGCAATGGGCCTGTTGATGTTTCCATGGAAACCCAATTTGACACGTGTAAAAGCAGCGTGCTGCTATCATGTTTATTTTATACTGATTGATTAAGAGAGGTGCTTTAATTTAAGAATTTTTATTCTTTTGCACCAATCTTATAATATTTTTGTGTATGTTTTGCTCATTTGTAATGTTGAAAATAAATGTGTATCATGTATGTATGTATGGTATGTATGTATGTATGTATCACCAGTGAAACAGGGCAGTGAGGGCCCTGACCGCTTGGAACAGCATGAGAGTTCCGGTCAGCGCCTTGGTCCACTGGATGTGGTAATTAACCCAAACCAACCAACCAACCGTAGGTGCGCTGAAATTTTCGGTGCAATCCTACCACTAGGTCAAGGTATGCCGGACATATTCAGCATAGCGTGTATTCTTTCCAGTCTGGCTCTAGTATGCTCTGAGCAGAAATCTTTAAAAACAAATGAACTTAAATGACTTAAAATGGCCTCAAGAGCATGAGGTTAAGATGAGTCACAGATAAATGGCTGGCGCCCTCTAGCCCCATAGGTCATGTTCCATTGCATAAAACAGTTTTGTTTTAACCCACCTGACAGTGACTGAATCGTTTCGCTTGGTTACATAGAAAACTGACAGTCCATATCGTCATTCAACTGCAGTGACAATTCTGAGAGAACCGGAAATAATGAGAAAAATGTGCACCATTTATCATTTTTTTTCTCGTGCTCGATTTATTTTGGAACTACTGCGCCGACTGCGCCGTTGTTCCACGACTACCATATTGCTACCAAAACAAAGCCGAAAGTTTTTCCTCTACGTGGGTGAGCGGGCGCAGGTGATGTTGGGGGGGTCGCGCCAATGATAGTTGTTTTACAATATTTTGTTGGTGGTGCTTGGCTTGAATGTGTATGCATTGTCATTGAGTTTGAATAAAGATTTTCAAAGATTCACCTGTATCGCACAATTATTACAAAAGTAGAGCGTGTAACCACTCGCAAAAGGGAAAACACCTAAGTAAAACTGAATATTTTCTTTACGGATGCGGTCGAATTGGGACCATGACGATCCCACACTTTTGGCACCAATTAACAAATTTCGAGCGTCAGTAACCAGGTAAGTCCGTCAGCTATCGAAGACCGCCCTTTTCCTGGTTACATCAGTCGTCGTCTGATTGGGGCCTCGAAAGCGTTCGTTCGAGGTTCATCGTTGAGTCGTTCAGATGTGACGTGACATAAGACCGCGATAATAAGCACCTCCAGTGTTCCGGATCCAAGCCTGGAGTTTACACAGAGGGTGCGCGCCAACGAGTGCAGACTGCATCACCTGTAGGATTCAGCAGCCCCACGAGGTCATACATACAGTAACGGTAAGACCCTAGAAGACGTCGACCATATCCTATGCCACATACCCTGCTAACCGGACTATCGGCCGTACTGAACACCACGTCATACTAACTCTCTAACGGAAGAAAATCTCGTAATTACGACGTACCACATCAAAGGCGAGTGCAAATTATAAACCAAGTCAGATGCATAACGAGCAATTATATTTTGCTGCATTGCTTGGCGAATTAATACAAACGAAAGGCTTCTTTTCACAGCCGGCAAGGCTTGGCTCATCAACTCCCAAATACTGGGGATCCTCATACCCGCAAAGGGCAGCACTATCCGCACGACACATAACAGTTCAATAATCGCCAACACACAACACGACTCCAACACTGAGGTAAAAACTACACTTTGCAAGGGTCCATGAGATGAAGTGAGTGCACCGTTTGTCGAACGGTCAGTTGCCAGGGTAACCGGAGGCCGGCCGCTGGTGCGCGTGGCCCGCCGGCGGCGGCTGGTGCGCGTGACCCGCCGGCGGCGGCTGGTGCGCCGCCGGGGCAGAGTATTGGGACGCCGCCGGCTGGAAGCCCGACTGCATCGAGTACAGAGGCTGGCCGAGGTAGCCCATCGGCTGCTGGAACCGCGGGTACATGCCAGGCGTCGGCTGGTACATCTGAGGGAAGGCCAGGTACGGCTGCTGGTACGGCTGCGGCTGGTACATCGGCATCTGGCTGGGCAGACGCGGCCACTGCTGCTGCTGCTGCTGCGGGCGCGGAGCCGGCGGCGGCCGCGGGGTTGCCGGGGGATGAGCCGCCTGGGGCTGCTGGAAGCGAGAGGCCGTCGGCTGCTGATACGGGGCTACCGGCCGCAGCGGGATCTGGTACTGGTGCGGTGCCGACTGCGCCTTGACCGGAGCCACGGCGGCCGCCGCCGGGGTGGGCGCCGCAGCGGTGGCCGCCACGGTGACGGTGGCGCCGCTGGAGACGGACAGCGGCGGCGGCGAGCCGTGCGGCGTGGAGGCGGCGCGGGCTGACGCGCTCAGCTGCACCGGCTTTCCGTCCGGGGTGCGCAGCTCGAGCGGCCGGCGCGGCGGCGACGGGCCCGTGCTGCTGACGCTGCTGCGACGCGCCGTCTCGGCACCGCTCACCAGCTGACTGAGCTGCACGGGCGTGCCGTCGGGCGCGCGCAGCTCCACAGAGACGCGCGGCTTGGAGACGGCCGGCTCGTCACCGCCCGGCAGGCAGATTGTGCTGTCCTTGCTGGCACACGCCGAGTTATTCTGAGGAGCACCGCGCCCGTTTACAGTCAGACACGGCCAACGACGGACATACACGGGGCACGGAGTATCGACTGAACGCTCAAAATTGAAGACACCAATTTAGTACTTGCACGATGGCGTTCCATGCTTTAAAACACAGGAATTAGCACAAATTACGCCGGATGGCATACGAGAGACAGTGGAGCCTTCGCCCACTCAACTTTCAACGAACAGTCCGGCTACCCTAATCATAGACGACGTCAGCATAAGGTACTGGAAGTCCCGTCCGAGCACCCGCCCCAGAGGCAGCCTGTCTCACCTGACTGGGGTGGATGAACTCGGGTGCGTCCGGGTTCATCGAGAGCGAGGTGCGCGCCGAGGCCGGCCGGCACGTGGAGTGGTTCTGAGAGCCGGGCTGGCAGACGGAGCCCTGCTGTGAGCCGGGCCGGCCGACGACCGCCGCCGCGCGGCTCGCTACGAGCGCTGCCGAACACAGTAAAGAGCCGCGTCAGGTACACGGACGTCACCCGTCCAATAACTGAACAAGACGTCAGTTCAAAGCAATATATCTGAGAATAGCCCGAGCATCGAAGGCGCACACACTTTTACAACCTCTAGTCAATCTCTCGTGCGGTCACCCCGTCCCATCGGGCTGCGTACCGTCAATGCGCCGCTGGAACGAGGCGATCTGGGCGTCCATCTTGCGCAGCTCGTCCCCGATGACGTCCTCTGGCGAGAAGTCGGTGCCCTCCAGACCCATCGTGGTGGCCTCCACCTTTCGCCGGCTGTCCGAGGGAGCGGCGTCAGCCATTGTGAGCAACGTCACAGCACACAGAACAGGCAGCACAGGTCGGCAGGGAAATAAGGTCACCGTAGTCATACACAACAGTTCCACGTCCGTCAGAGCACGCAATGCAGAACACAGAACACTACCGTCAAGCCACGGCAGTACAAGACGTAGTCAGCGAACCCTAGTTACCCTGCCCAACCACAAAACGTCCACCCAAACGGACTGACGGTCGGTGGCTCTAGCCGTTGCCTGAGCGCTACTCCGTCAGAGTTCATCAGCCACCACTCTCCCTCGTGTCAGCACCTGCCGCGGCCGCTCACCGTTTGTTCTGCAGCTGGGTGAGGATGTCGCACATCTCTGGCAGCAGGTCGGCCGAGTCGCCGCCGCCCTGCAGCGCCGCGCCGCCCACCTCGGACGCCGGCGGCGGGCACGGCTCGCTCTGCAGCGCCGTCGGCTGAGAGTGCGCCGCGCTGTAGACCGTCTCCGAGCCCAGGTCGGCCAGCTCCGCCTCGTCGTCCTCATCGTTGGCGGCCGTGCTCCAGTACGGGTCGGCAGGGTCGAACTCGGCGATAATGTCCTGAAACACGGGATGGGGCGTCACAATAATATCTTAAGACATTGTACGCATTCAGGTCTCGCCCTAAGACAAACCTAGGAAAAAAAACCACGGCATTTCGCTGAAGCCACCCTAGTTCAGAACGGGTTGAAACAAACAGAGAACGCCACAGACAGAGAACGCGACAGAGCGCCGCGGCTACTTACGTTTATGATGCCATTGACGTCGTGTTCGTTCTTCATGTTTTTGAAGACGGTGAAGACACGCGGCACACAGGTGATGGGGTAGAGGGTTAGCGGGTCCACCAGATCTTCTCCGTTCATCACACCGGGCACTTTGTACCTGCCGGGAGCGACAGCCGACGCGGTGAGTCAGCGGTATAACGACGGCCTCCGCACACAATACGGATGGACTAGTGACGACTCACGGCACGAGTATCGAAGGTAAGGTAACTGGTACAGAAAACTATTAGGATAGTCATCACTCATCAGTGACCGCAGCCTCTTCGGATGACCGCGATTTATCAAAACTTTTGTTAATCGATGCTTATTAGACAAAAGTGATTGCTTGCTTAACGTGCTAGTGCTTACCGTATAGTGAACAATGAACATGTTATAAACATGTCTGCCTCTTCCCTGCCCACTCACTTTATGAGTTCGGCGAAGAGCTCCTGGTGGGACTCGACGTCGACAGAGCGGCTGGGCAGCGTGACGCGCTTCATCAGCAGCATCGTGTGCAGGATGTCGCGCGTCCAGAGGAAGTGCGAGATCTCGGCCGACACCAGGTAGCCGGCGCCGTCCAGGCAGATCAGGTGCACCACACCCACCGGCACCGCTGCGCGCGCACGCACAAGGGGGGGGGGGAGGGGGGTCACACATGGTTTTCACTTTTCAGGAGCGACACTGGCACAAGAAGGAACCAACAGCTGACGTACGACCGGTGCAAAATGTGCAATATTCAGAAAACTTTGTAAACACAAGATAAGCTACAATCAAAATCAACGAAACTTGATGGTAAATGTCAAACACTACATGTGACTAAACACGTTCATATAGCTGCAGCACATCAGCTGTGGTGGCGTGCGACACATGGTAATTCTCTGGACTCCATTACCTATCTGTTTGATGAACCGTCTCTGCATGGTAAGCTCCCCCAGCTCGCGGTTCATTTGGTCAATCTCCTCCTCAGTCAGCTCCTGGTGGCTTGGAGCGCTGCAAACCACACAGAAAGACTAGGTTAGGTATCTCCCCAGTCGGCTCCTGGAGGTTCAGTGCGCTGCAACTAACACAGGGAAACTAGGTTAGGCAGATGTTAGGAATTACAACAGGATGGTGAAGGACAATCAACAATAATGCAAGGCTACAGGGTGAAAAGAAATTACGCCAACATACTTTTCATATTCTAGCAATGGAAAGAAATGCGGTGGCATAAAATTTTCATCTTCTAATATATCTAATGTGATAAACTGACGAGTGCGTTCCGACATGACTAACATCAGCATGTGAAGCACTGCTGGCAAAAGCATAGCCAACGCCTTCTGGAGCTGTCTGGTGAGGCTATCGATCGCTGTTGGTGGCCACTAGCAGCTCTTTGACGTTCTCCTAAAGAGCCACCTGGATATTTTTTTCAAGAATTGAGGTCCGGGCTATTCCCAGATCAGCTTTTGTATGCCCAGAAGAAGAACAGGTTCTCACGGCACCAGTCTTGCGTCTTGTTGGCCGTGAAAGAAAGGACTTCAGCAACCATGAAGAGGAGTTTCTTTGTGTCGGACATAAAAGTGCGCTTAATCATTTTGCCCATTCTGATGCACGGTGGATCAGACTCGTCTGGGAAGATGTTCCACTGGTTGCATATTTTATTTTTGGTGACCTTTTTGAGCGGTACATGCCATTCTGCACCACCCGAGGGCTCATAATCCGCTGATGTGTTCACTTTCCCGGATGTTGGAAGGTTGGGACGGGCGGGACATCGGGCGCATCAGCAGCCCCCAACGCAATTGTTCTGCAGGTTTGGCGGATGAAACAACTTCAAAGATGTCTCACTCAACCACCCAGCCTGGCCTGTCCTCCTCTGTCCAGCTTTGATGGTCTTTGGAAAACTTTAATCGACAATCCTGCTGTTAATTCGTGAATTTTGGTGATCTCGAGGGTTGGTACCTACGGCTTTATTTTCGAATTTTCACGGATTTATGTGCGAATCGTGATATCTTAGATCGGGTACTCGGCCACAGTAGACTATTTTGCCAGTTTTCGGGTCGACTGACGTCGTTTTGGCGCCAACGTGGTGACCACCCATTCAGCGACTGAATCCGCTGAGGTTTCGCTGCCGCGGACGGCGCTTAGCTTTTTACAGTACTCTTTAAGTGTTATTATGCTTCAATCAAACGTATTATAGTTAAATGCTGGTGCTAAGACCGCTACAAATTCCTTCCGCACCAATCCAGCCAAAATCATCACGAACGCTTTCCCTGGCAGCTCCAAAATGTGCTCTTTGCCCATTTTGATCTTGGGCAGGCTATGACATCTGCAGTTGTACCATTCGAAGCAGAGAGGTCTCAAAGACCTTCCAGGTCATTCTCCAAAGTTAGGTCACTTTTTTGGCAGATGAGGCGACAACGAACACGACCAATCGGCAATCACGCTCCACGACAGCCCGCGCTGATGCAAAATGTTCCACTGACTGGCTAAATTGTAAGAAAATACATGGTCACGTCATCACTTTCCACCCTGTGTTTCTATCAAAGATCATATGCTAATGGGTAAAAATGTGCTGGTCACAAGCCCCAGTTAGGCATTATGGAAAAAATCACATCATATTGTCGGTATGTACTTGGCGATCAGAGTCATATTTCACTGTTTTGGCGGACAAGTCACATCCTGAAGTTACAACATGAGTTCTCACTGTTCTGTAAAACTCTGTACCTTAGACTGTTCAGTGACAACAGTGAGCAGTCAGTATTTCATTCAGCTGATTTGACATGTCAATGGTGACACAACTGAAGATAGAGCAGGTATTCTATTCAAACATTACCTACCATGTAGTTCTATCAATCAATTTCCATCATGTCAATGTTCATTGTTAATGAGCTTTTGACTTCATTGTTTTACAAGGCGGAGTAGTTCGGAAAAAACAAGGACAGATGCTTTTCAGACACAGGTAATTCATCAATTTCATAGAATCAGGAAGGCAATCACTGGATGTGAACACTGCTATAAAACTGTGAAGCCACAACCATTTTCCCCTGATCTTGGATTATGGGAACCACTTCTGTTACAATCGGTTTTTTAATTAAATTGAAACTTATCATAATCATAATATTTATGGTCTTGTGACTAGGACACTGCTGGTATGCTCTGTTCCATTTCAAGAGTGTGTCCGAAGTCACCTGCTGAAAGCAGTGCGTGATTTCTGTATATACAGCGCTTACATTCAAATACACTAATTATTGGGCGGAGGAGCGATTTGCCAAAAAAACTCAGACCGCAAGCTTGATATGGAACAGACTATAGCAGTGGAATCAGGATTTTATTTATCTTTAAGTCAACTTGCATCTTTTTTGCTAGCATACTACCTCTACTCCACAAGCAGGTGGGTAAGAATATCTGCAAGGAGCCAAGCAGTAAAACAAAACTAATTACCAGACAAATTTTCGTCATCATCAATCTCTACCATGTCATCCTGAATCACCAAAATTCCACCACGGCCTATGAGCACCTCTCAAAATGATTACATGACCTTCGTTAAAAGTGCTTTTGGTAATCAAGTGGCTATGTTACATGCAAATTATGTCTTCTTAGTAGGTATATATTTCAGCGATCTAAATCACAATGAATACCTTGAACTTTTAGCTCAATCTGATATTTTCAGAATACTTCGCTGTCCCTACTTGTACCTACTCCATGCTTACATCGGGCGAGATGATTTGATCTTGGTGATCGTTGTTTGTTTCTTATCTTGATTGAGCTTAAGCTGTGTACAGGCAGCCTGCATGATTGAAATTCAATCACAATTGGTAAAGCTTATCGTCTTCATTTATAAAACAGCAGGGAATTGAAGTCACGCCACTTTGTCACATGCCCTACTTTTAATTAAATTTTGAGCCCTGCCCTTCCTTGCCCTGCACACTATCTATCTATCTATTTCACTAAACCGCGCAACATGCTCGATGTCATAAAGGCGAAAATATTAGTTTTGGTAGGGAAATATCGACCGTAACGACACCAGATTGTGACGTTCGATGCGCAGCTGCTTCATTTGCGTAAGGGCGGGCATATCTTTACCAATAGGGCTATGAGGTGAAGTAAAACTTCATTACTGCCTTCATCGCTAATTTGTAGTTTAGAATGGTTGAGACTTGAGACGTCCTTTTTTCGCTTGTAACGTTCATAGCTTAGGTAAATAACATAGCGCCAATGACATAAAATGGTGATCAAATGTGAGCTTTCTACGCAGGCGTCCGACGGTGATATCTCCTCACGTCCACCGCTGCCACCCCCTCGGACAGGTCGGAGGCCTCTTTTCGACAGCGCGCCAGCCCTCTCGTCGCTCAGACCGCAGTGGACTCATTGGCGGCGGATGCCCGAGTCCCGCAGGAGAGGCCGAGCGGTGCTCTCCAGAACCCGTGGGGAAGGGGGACTGTGCAGTGTGCAGCAGCGCCGCCCTCCAGACCAGTTCTGAGATCTGACAAAGTGGTGGACGGTGTGGGACCTCATCCCAGCTCGGACCGCGGAAAACGACCCGAGTCAGCCCAAAAGAAATCACTTGTCCATTCAGGGCGGACGCCGGTGGCCGGCGCGCCACAGGCCACCGTCCCCCAGCTGCTCCGATGATAACTCGCGATAGGACTCGACGCACGCCGTCCCATCAAAATGCGATCTCATAATTCATATCGATGGGATATTGCCAGTGTGCACCACCTCATCACCAGCTGGTCCAACGCTCCTGAGCTGCCGCACTGTTGATCGTCGACGCGATCCCGAGTACCTTCCGTGCAAGACATCGGACCGTGTCCCAGGTAGGCGGGATATCGAACATTTCCGTAAGAGCAAACTTCTGCCTTTTCTGACATGTTGGATTGAGTGGGGTGTGTGGAGGTGGGGGATTTATGAGATCGAGCACCATGTGAATGGTACAATGGACAAGCACCACTGTCTGATCTCACCTGTCCGCCTGGATGGGGCGGAATCATTGTCCCGTATGGTCTGTATGGACAAGGTGGCAGACAGTACAGCCATCTAGCTCACCGCTCCGCCGTGGGAGCGGCTATATCGGTGTCCCGTGTGGCCGGCATATGAACAGTGCCAGTCTGAATCTCACCTGTCGGCCTGAGTGGGAGCGGCGGGCGGCAAAAGCAGCGCCACCGTCTGATCAGTGAGCTTACCTGTCGGCCTGGGTGGGCGCGGCGATGCACACGCCGGCGTTCCGGCCGCTGCCGTCCACGGACGGGGCCAGCGGCGGCGGCGCGGCCGGCGGTACCTCCGGGGAGGTGGGGACGCCCGCCGCCGCCGCCGCCTCCGGGGCGCGGCCGGCCGCCGACACGGGCGTGGTCGGGGCCACAGCAGAGACGGCGGCCGGCGCGACGGTGGTCAGTGCCGCGGGCGACACGGCGGAGACGGTCTGCCGGGGGGGGGGTGGGGGGGGGGGGACCGGTCACAGATCATCAGTCCAGGGGCGGGGCGGACCGGCCACAGACCATCAGTCCAGGGGCAGATCAGTCAGCAGTCAGTAGTCAATAGTCACATCAGTCACACCAGTCGGAGTCGGAACCGTGAATCACACTAGCAGCACCAGTCACAGAAGCTATTATCAGTGAGGCCCACCTCCCTTCTCCCATCTTCGTCGCGACGAAAAAAGTCCCAGGGGGAACAGGACAACTTACCTACAAAGGACATCAGCCAGACACCTAACGTTACGAGTTACGACCACTAGCGACACAATGCCCAATGTCTTATCCTACCGACCGGGCCGGTCACAGCTGCACGCTATTATCGCAATCGGAACTGTCGGCGGAAGGATTATGATATGAGATATCAATGACACGTTACTGATATTTCAATTGTCGTACTCTGATAACTCGTAGATTATCGCAACCAGTTCCAGCGTTAATCGCACGAATCATCACGCTCACACCAGGTCGGTAGCTCACCCGCCACGTGCTATCGCCGGCCACACACTGTCGCGCTCTCTGTTCAGCGGCGTGTCGCCGCCGGGACACACATGGTGCCCACGTGGAGTTGTCAGGCCCACTTCCGGGGCGGGTTCGCGTCACGTCCCTGAGTTATGGCCCGCACCAGTGAGCACCGATGGCGCAGGCCGACCTTGCCTTAACTGCCCGCCGGGCCTTTACTGAGCGAGGATGATGGTTTTGTGATTTAAGCGAGCCCGCATTCAGAGGTCATCGGCTCCCATTACATACCGGGTGGACCCGTCCCCATCCAGCCCAGTTTCTCAGTACAGCTGTGTCCCGCCCCGTGCCGCTGCGGTCAGCGGTCAGCGGGTGTCGGCGCGGTCGGCGGTGTCACCGGTGTCAGAGTGTCAGCGTGTCACGTACCGGCGATGTCGGGACAGCCGTCACGCCGCCGCCGGCTCCGGACGCCTGCGACATGAGCAGCGCGGCGTACGCCGCCGGGTTCATCATCGGATTCATCAGGCTGCCGAGAAACGGGCCGGGGCACGGGTCAGGACCGAGAGCCGATGGCCGGCCACTGCCACTGGCTGCCATAGTGACTGGGGCCGGGGCACGGGTCAGAGTACAGCGCCGATGGTCGGCCACGTCCAGCCAGCCGGTAGAATCGACACAGCGCATACCACGGCGGGACTATTTCACTCAGCAAAAGATAACGACTCAAGGATATGCTAACATGATTTTGTTTAGATAACGTCATTGATATATCGCAAATTATTTGCATGTTGTGCCAGATCAATGAACCCAGGTTTGGTGTAAAGTTGATAGTATCACTAACTAATACCCAGTGTGTCACACAACCATTTCAACATTTCATCGACTTGCTGCACGATAACAGCCCATCCCCTGCCCTAACTGCACTAAATACCTCACTTCTACTCGGTCCCTCACTCCCCCACCGCCCGCCATCCCCTCTGCCCCGCTGGTGTCTCTCACTTGAGCTGCATCATCTGCAGGTTGCTGAGCAGTGCCGACTGCGTCAGCATCTGCGCAAAGGCGGTCGTGCTGACTGGCGGCAGCGGCGACACGGCAGCGAAGCCGGGCGGCTGTCCGGGCGACGACAGCGGCACTGTGAACGCGCGGCGGGAGGCGAGTGAACACAGAGACGCCCGCAGAGCTAGCCAAGAATTACACAGAGACAGCTGCGGGGACATAACAGTCTACAGACCACAGGATACAGCACAGCACCACATATCACTGCAGGGCCCCGCCAGGCCCGCCTAGTGGCGACATCAAGTAAATCACAGCCTGTGTCCATCTGAGCTGGCAGCCGGTGGCCGAATCCGTCTGGACTGGTCAAACACCGCCGTCTCTGTCTCGGCCAGGTGCCCTGTGCCGACGATGCCGGTCAGACGGCAGCGCCACCCACTTGGAGCCGGTGGCGATCCGGCAGTTACCGGCGGACTGCCCCGGGTCCCCCCAACTGAGGTCAGCCGGTACACCCACTCACCTGGGGCCTGTAGCGGTCCGGCCATGCCCGGGGGCTGCCCAGCGTCCCCCCTACTGAGGTCAAGCCGGTATATCCACTCACCTGGAGCCGGCGGTGGGCCGGCGTTACCAGGCGGGCTGCCCAGCGTCTCCAGCAGCAGCCGGTCGATGTCGCTGGGCGTGCTGCGGCCGCCAGCCGGCTCCGACTCCGGCTCGGGACTCAGCGAGAGGCGCGCCGCGGCCGCCGACGCCGCCTCCGATACGGAGACGGCCGCGGCCGGCGGCGGTGCAGCGGTGGGACTGGGCGCCACCGACACCGGCCGAGAGAGCTCCTCCACCGCCTGACGGAGGCCAGACGAGTCATACTGCTGAGCCTCATAGTACACGGCGGGTAACGCTTACAAAGACTACATGACAGGTAACGTTTGCAGCGTGAAACGAAACACTCTGCTGAAGTCAGCCAAAACTCACATACCCGTCCGAACAAATCATGACGTGATCTCAGCGATAATTCAGCGCGAAAACTCTTGACTTGGTCCATATAGGGAACCGCCATTCGCTCCATGGTGTGCAAAATGCAATGTAAACAATTTCGTAGGTGCTCGTGCCTATCACTTCTTTCTTTGCACCCTTGACACCAACACGACAACCCGATCCGCGCCTCTCCTCCCGACTGACCCTTGGCCAGCGCAGAATAACGGCTATTCAGCAGGTCACAGTATCTCACCGTATCATATGGCTCAGCTGGCTGACGGAGGGCGCAGACCAGCTGCCACCGCTGGGGCTCCCAGTCCCCACACAGCCACATCACAACAGTTCAGAAGATACATACATCACAGTGCAGCACCGATTTCAGATATCAATACCTACTTCAAAAAAAAAAAAACGCTAGCATTGAATAAAACAAATTAAGAAAGGCAGCAAATATGGCACCGCCGCGGTGAGCACGTCACTCACGTCTAAGGACTTCTCGCCACGAGCAGCGCCACCCAAGTCACGGACAGCCCACCTTTTCGTCGACGTCGACGCTCTCGTTGTGGAAGACGGCGTAGTCGAGCTCGACGAGCCGGTCGTTGACGTGGAGGTCCGTGTCTCCGGTAGTGTCGCACAGACACAGACTGACGCAGCTCTGCGGGCGTAGAATGGGGAGAAATGAGTCAGGCGGACGACGCAGACACAGGCTGACGCAGCTCTGCAGGCGTGGGGTGGGGAGAGGTGAGACAGATAACAGACACAGACTGACGCAGCTCCGTGGGAATGGGGCAAGGAGAGCGAGAGCGAGAGCGAGAGCGAGAGCGAGAGCGAGAGCGAGAGCGAGAGCGAGAGCGAGAGAGAGAGAGAGAGAGAGAGAGAGAGAGAGAGAGAGAGAGAGAGAGAGAGAGAGAGAGAGAGAGAGAGAGAGAGAGAGAGAGAGAGAGAGAGAGAGAGAGAGAGAGAGAGAGGTGAGAAAGGGAGCAATACGTCTGTTAGCTGGAGCGGACCAGTGTTAAACACATAATGTAAAAAAGTAAATGACTGAAAATACAAGGGCGGTGTTTCACGGGACGCTGCTACCACGCTGCTATCAAATTGCGCGAGCTGACGTCACACTTGTGGTAGTGTTGGAGCAATGGGCCTGTTGAGTTTCCATGGAAACCCAATTTGACACGTGTAAAAGCAGCGTGCTGCTATCACCGGTGAAACAGGGCCAAGATAACTAATGCAACAGAGCAAACACATAATGCATTGTGATATGCAGGTCGATGTATCCGTCACCAAATCACTGTCTAAGCCGTTGAGACCCAACCGCGGCTGGATTAGGGTCAAAAGTAAAACCATCCAGCATCCGGCCCATGTCCGAAATCGTCACCGACCGACCCCCAGTTACGAGTATGGCAATGGCCCCGGCCACCAAGGCAGGGACATTCACTCACCGGCGACCTCTCCAGAATCATGGCGTATAGGATGCGATTGTTGTCGACTAGAGACAGGAACGTCTTGGAGGCCTCGCGCGACCAGCCCTCGGCGTCCGGCGGCTCGATGTTGGCCAGCCGACCCTGGTAACATAGACACAATGACAGTATTGTTATTCACCCGGCTGGAGATAGCTTCTGTTTCCGCATCGCGCAGTAAAGGCGAACAAAGCTTCCACGCTAGGATGAAGAATGTGACTCGTTTTGAGCAAACCCTTCCAGTTGCTCCAATTATCCTCCTCATAAAGTGCCGGACATGCACACTGCGATTGTATGAGTAATTAGACAATCAACGGGAATACTTCATCAGCGAGCACCAAATTTCAAAACCAGTAGCTCCTTAGCTACTTCAGTGATTAGCTGCACATTGTCTGATATTGAACGAGCCCTGTGCCCAGCCGCCGCTGCCGTTCCGCCCCTCTATCTAACACAGCGACTAGAGATGTCAATCGGATACCAACTTTTTGGTATACCGATACCAAACCGATACCAACTTGGTATTTGGTATTTGAATCGTAATGTGTTTGGTATTTTGTTGGTATCATGAACCCTCAATAATGTATAAAAGGCTAAGAAATCGGTAAAAAAGTTGGTATTTCCCTCATTTTCCCAAGTCGGTTTGGTTTCGGTATTTCCTCGTGGTTTTGTTTGGTATTTGGTTTGGTATCGGTATTCCGATTTTCCGTAATTGACATCACTAACAGCGACCGTCACCAGCCGCGGCGACTCACCAGCAGAGCCTGGGCCGGCAGACTGAAGTACTGCTCCGGCAGGAAGCGCAGCATCTCGCGAGACACAGTGCCCACAGAGCCGTAGTCCACGTAGAACACCTGGTGAACGGGGATGGGCGGCGTCAGCGGGGGACGCACCAACGATCAGTAGTCATGCATAAGGTAGGTGAACGCCTTAACAAGTTACAAGCAACATCGATGCAGAGTTCCGTCACCTTCAAACAGAGCCCTGAGGTGAATGTAGTGCACCTTTCCGTGCTTCTATCCTCAGGATACAGAAATCCTTCTCCTCCACGCCGCAACCCCCCTCCGGGCTGGACAGGCAACTTTATCTCATGCGGGCTGCTCCCTTGGAGCGGCAACGCTGCTCCTGGTCCTGAGGGAGCGCACCCCGTAGCCGGGTGCAGTGAGTGCCTTGGGGCTGGGTGGCCTGTCCTCTGGACGGGCTCAGCCCCGGCGACTCACTAGGGTGCCTGCCCAGACCAATGTCTCACCCTATATCCTATCATCCTTCCGGCTCTGAAATGGTCTAATTGGACCGAAAGAGCCTAACCCCCCCCCCCAAAAAAAAAAAATGTAGCGAACGCCGGACGGTCCCGGCAAATTTTATCACCGGGGAGCCGTACAGCCGCCACGCACGCAGCAGGATGTGGGAGAGGCCCGGAGGGCCGGGGACGCGCACCTTGACGGGCTCCGGCACGGGCCGTACGCCAGTGATGACGGCCCGGTGGTAGCCCTGCTCGCCGTACGGACACGCGCACACCTGGCCCACGCGCACGGTGGCCTCCTGCATGCGGTACTTGAAGCCCAGCGTGGTGCAATATGTCATCCTGGGGACAGTCGAGCGGCCGAAAAATGTCAGCATCGTCCGTAAGCACACTTCACTCAGAACTGAGGTGATGTAGAATTACGACATCAAGGAGCATCGCTATACAAAGACCGCAGACTCTTAGATAAGGCGGAGTTGGTCCCGTGAGGACTGAATTCCGTTCCAGCACTGGGCCGGCGGGATCCATATAATGATAGCTGCTACGTCATTACATAGTGACAGCCACGGCCCAGATATCAGCAAATACTCACTCCATTTCGTCCATGAGTTTTTCCAGAGCGTCCGCATACTGATCGCCAACCAGGTGGAACCAGAACTTGTGCGGATGGTACACCTGAAAACGAAATATCACGTCAATCTCGTCATAAGCCAGCTGTGCATGTAGCTTGGCCCATGAGTATCACAGAGTCTAGACGCAGCACCAGAGCACAGATATTTGCCGCGATTGAGACAAAGGACACGCTGCGGGGTCGACACCCTAGAGCCCCGACGCCCCGAGGCTGCAGCACTCCGCACCTCTGCCACGAAGATCTCCAGGTTGTACTCGCCGGAGGGCACGTCGGGCAGCTTGACGCGCTCGAAACTGCGACCGGGGCCGACGGCGTCCGCCGGGTACAGGTCGCGCGACACCGCCGTCTCCTGCCGCAAAGGTCAGGTCAGGTGAGGTCACATACTGCGTGACACGGGCGTCTCCTGCCGCACAGGTCATGTAAGTTTACTGGGCACGGGAAAACACCGCTAACTGCGGTCAGCAGAGGCGATGTTTTCCCGCCGAGGATTTAAAACAGGTGAACCGGATTACCGACCGAATGTTTATCCGAATATGGACAGGTATGAGCTCATGAATCGACATCCAAACACCGGCGTCATAACGCTGCAAGTGTGCGTTCAAATGCATTTGATCCCAGGGCTGACACAACAATGCATTGTTTGAATTTTAACAGCAAACATCATGCATTACGAGACGGACAGCTCACAACACTCTCAGCAGTCCCAACCCAGGCAGCCTCTATCACGTAGAACACCGCCGGCCGCGCGGCACCCACCGACTGGGGAGGCATGATGGGATACAGCTTCAGGCCGTCGGCCGTGTTCTTCAGGTTCAGCACGTCCTCCGTCAGCTGCAGCACGAACGTCTCCAGCGAGTTGAAGCCGAGGGCGCCGTACGGCAGACGCTCGTTGCAGTTCATCTGACGAAACGGAACGGTACAAGAGAGCTGTAGCGTGACGCACTGTAGCAAGCAACAACACGATGCAAACGGCACGGGGCCAAGGCAGAGAGGATGTGTCCCGTCTCCAAAGTAGCGCTAGCAGCAGTGCTATATCCATCCGACGTTGGACAAGGGGACAATTTGAGCTCACAAGAAGCACGTATACGATACAGATATTAATATGCCCACCAATACTAATTGGCGAAGCGTGATGCTCACCTGATAGTGATCCTCGAGACTGGACATGCGCAGTCCGTCGGGGAAGGAGAGCAGGATGTCGCGGATCCTCTCCTTGGCTTCCTGGAGCCGACTGCCATCCTCCACCTCGGCTATCAAGCCTGCAGAAACGAACACACGTCACTACACCGGGGCGACAGTAACAGACATCGCCATTTGCACAACTTATCTACACCAGACACGGTTCGGGTCTCCGGCATTTATCATTCGGCCACCGTAACCATGGTCCGTTTTATCCAGCATTGCATCGGGAGTCGTTTCTATTGACTATCAGCTGACACCTGCATCAGTAACCCACTCCACAGATCACAACACATCATTTGGCTTCTGTCTATGTATGTAGGACACTCCACAGTGTATGTTCAGCTGGCCCCGTATCTGAGCCCACCGTCCGTCAGCCTGCGTCTGGTCGTTGACAAAGTCCGGCAGCGGCTGCCGCAGCGTGAACAGCAGCCAGTCGCCGAACGCGTTCGACTTGATGATGCGCAGCGGGAGGAGGGACACCAGGTCCAGCACGCTGTGGAAGCCGAGCTCCGACAGCGCCAGGTCGCTGCCCGTCCTCAGCTAAGGGGGGGGGGGGGCGCACCCGATCAGAAAGGTCAGACAGCTCCAGCTTACATCAAGAGTGGCGAAACCGCATCTACATTGCAGTTTGACCCTTTTGGGGTATCTACTGTCGTGACTACGACCCCAGGTCACATTATCACGCTAGCATTCCAGTTTTGAAGGATCATATTTTATAGCATGCGGCTTGACGACAGTGCCTCATTTCGCCCCACAGCGTTCCTATCCAGTCGGGCAGTATTCTCACCTGGTACTCTGAGGGCAGTTTGGAGCAGAGCAGACCGTTCGGGTGCTTCTCCAGGATAGTTTGTACAGTCTCTGAGATCGAGGCCAGCAGACTCTTTCTCTTCCCTGAAAAAGAAACATTTCAAGTCACATTTTTGACTACCACAAAGGACTGGATACGTCACCCGCATCTCATCCATACTGATACCCATATGATAACAATTGATGTTTACAGGGCAATGTTGTAGTGAAGATATTGAGCACAAAATTAACCGTGGTTAATGTGAGAATCCGGAGATAGAGTAAGCCACCGCGCAATTTTTCAGCATTCCAGCAACAAACTGAATGAAAAACGTCTGGCATCAAGAGCAGGGATGCGGAGCCGGAGCCGGAGTCGGAGCCGGAGCCGCCGGAGCCGGCATATTTTGCCCGGAGCCGGAGCCGGAGCCGGAGCCGTGAAACAATATAGACCGGAGCCGGAGCCGGAGCCGGAGCCGCCAAAAAAGGGGGCGACTCCGGCTCCTTTTTATTTTTGAAGAGGAAAAAAATAATTGACCTAGTTCGGTTTGACAGTACAAGGCAGTGAAAACATATGGTATGTACTTACGTCATGGGCCATCAAGTGAATGAAAAAAAGCCGAATATCCCCAGTATCCCACAGTACGCAATCAACTTCCTGTCTGCTCCTCCCCCCCCCCCCCCCACGTCTACTGCATCCCCAGAACATGAGGACCGGTCATCAGGTGACGGCCATTGTTTTCAAGCCAGTGCAGTGGACTGCGACTCCCAGCACCGTCTCTGCCGAGACGGGTGTCAGCTTACGATGGTTCAGTGAACTCCGATTCGCGGCGACTGCGTTTCCAATGCCATCGCTTCCTAGTCCTTTGTTCTGCCAGTTCTCTCCGAGGTGCGTTTGCGCGGGGACGCGGTCATGAGCCGGTCATGGCAAAGAGTAACGCGTATAACCAATCCAATTTTTCTTCCACCCGTATTTAATTGATTGCATAGGGGATGTACTGAGTCGGAGCCGGAGCCGCCGGAGCCGGAGCCGCCGGAGCCGGACCATTTTACTCGGAGCCGGAGCCGGAGCCGGAGCCGCCATAACATTTCACCCGGAGCCGGAGCCGGAGCCGGAGCCGATTTTTTTCTCCGGAGCCGGAGCCGGAGCCGGAGCCGTCTGAAATTTCCACGGCTCCGCATCCCTGATCAAGAGCAAAGACTGAGACTAAAACAGCTGCAGTAATTACAGCAATCGAAGCTAGTTAGTCGCCGCACTATACATTTATAGAATAGATGTGCGAAGTGCATTATCATGCAGTGAGAAAGAAGAGTAGCTACCGACAACATTAAAACGTGGAGGACATTGTGCACACATTAGGTATAACGGAAGCCACGAAATCTGAACGAGCCAGGTCCGAAGCCCCGAGTTAGGCTCTGAGAAAAAAAGCGCTATGGACGGTACATAATACTGGCAGGGCGTTTGAAGCAACAGCCATTGCCTCGACAAGGGTAAAAAGGAGCCTGTTGATGACGATCTGCTGCTAGGAATAATCACTATTTTTATGGGGATCAGGATCGTGTTAAGGGTCGGGAACAAAGGTTTCAATGTCGAACAAAGCCGCAGCCTTGGCTTTGTTTGATAATTATCGATCGGTCGAAAATGTCTTGAGCTTCTCAGTACATTTCACATTCCAAGTTGGAGGATATTTCATAAATTCTTCATTTATCATGTTTCCCGAAAGAGTACAGGATAGATTAAGTGTATGCTAGTGGTCATGCAAGAAGGGGGGGGGGGCTGTAAATCAATTTCAATTAGTTCACCAGTTTCTGGGCTAGAGTATCAAACAAAAAACAGACATGCGTCGACTTCAATAGCCTATGTATTACAAATGAAAACAGCGACATATAGAATGCTAGACACGAACCCAAGCACCACTAAGTTTCCTATACGCGAGATCACTCGGTGATATTAGTCTAGCTAGCAGGTACTCACAAGACATCACACGAATTAGATTATCTACAACATAGTCCATCTACAAAAGGGTGAGCGAAGAAGCAGTGGAGTGTCCCATACAACCCTGCATTCCACTCCCAGCACCGACGGCCGACACAATGTGCTGTGCGTTCGAGCCGTGTCTGAGGCGGCGTACCTTCCAGTTCCAGGTCGGCGTCCGTGAGTCCGTCCGCCTCGGGGCTGACGACGCACCCGGCGGGGAGCGGGCCGGCCGCAGGGTCCGTGTCGCCCCTCTCCGTCTCAGTCCGGCTGCAGTGGTCGGCAGCAGGGTCCGTGTCGCTCCTCTCCGTCCCAGTGCACCGGAATGGCTCGGTTGTAAGGTCCGTATCGCTCCTCTCCGTCTCAGCCCGGCTGCAGGGTGCACCGCCCGGTGCCGGCGCCATAGCCGTGTGATGGGTACGGTGATCGCTGTCATGGTGACAGTCGCGTTCCGTCTCCGCCTCCTCCGCTCGGCGACTGACGTCAACTCCAGCCCCCTCACCACTCAACTGACCCCGCTCCATGTGACTGGAGTGTCTCCCTGTCCGACGGGAGCACCGAGCAGCCCTTCAGTCGCTCCCGCTACAGACAACAGCCCGACTCCGTGGGCAGAGGCTTCGGCCAGTAGCGGCTCTTCAGCCAGTCGGCGTCCGATGTCTTGCGCAATACTGCGTCGAAGCTCATTTTCTTCCTTTTTGAAGATGTTATCTTCCCGTTCCAGCAGCCCCTTCAGAGTAACGATTTCCGATGACTCAACCCACTGTTTCACTGCGCGCATAATGTCCATCTTGACTTTGTGTTCCCGTTTCTTCCGCCGTGAGTTGAGCTGAAGGTCCTCCATTTTTAAACGATGCTTTATCAAAAGGTTTGTGATCGCGACTTCAAATACGTCACGATCAGGTTTAGAGGCTGAGTCATTCATATCTTTTGGTTTCATTGACTTGCCAGTATTAAGGTAGCAGCGTCTTCTAGACCTTCTTTTACGTCTATTGCACGGAGGACTTTCCAACTGACCTGCGTGAAGTTCTTTTTCTTCGCGCACGTCCTGTGTTATGCATTCCTCCCCAATGTTCCCTTGATTCGGCAGCGATTCGCACGCAGTTACTATCCGAAATTGTCCACTGCGTGACGGCGTGCCAACTCCATCTGCAAACGGCGAAGATTTGCCTAATACGGTCAACAGTTTCCACTTCAGAGGCCGCAAACTTGTTTCCCCTCCATATGCTCAAAACGTCGTGGAACAAATCATTACTGAAGACTGAAGTATGCATATTGCATAGGTATTATGCACTGGGCAACGTGGGTTATGTATATGTTACACATAACCACTGTTATTCCAGGAAAATGTTAGCCCGATGGTCAAACTTCTTTCTACTTTCTATTTGGCGCTGGTTGAACGCATTACTCCAAATGTAAGATCTATCAGATACGCAAACACTGTCTCAGTCTAGTCTAACGGTCATTGGACAAACATTTATCAATCATCAGCTAGGTGACTCGTCAAGGCGGCAGCGCTCTGATTACAAGCAACATAAAGGCCGCCCCGTACTGGACTTTGCATGCGGGTTGCGAGTTTTTGGGGTTTTCGGGTTTCTTCAAAATCAAATAATACATTTTAAGCTGAGTGACCCACACTACCATCTAACAAGCGAGTCTGCATGTTTTCAGCTTGCGAGCGACCTTGCATCGCATTCCAAAAGTTGATTTTGAGTCAACTTTATATTTTCCTCGCTGCGAGGTCTGCGAGTTCTGCGAGGTTTGCGGGTTTTTCGTTGGAGTCGAATTTTTGTTCGTTGCGCTGGTATTGCGACTATATGAAAGTTTCTGAAGGTGTACCGGCTTCACTGCATTCATGAAGTTACCATAAGGGAGCGGTCTAATCACTATGAAATATGAATTAGTACCAGTAAAACGCCTTTTGGGCGAAGAACGAGCGAGCGAGATAGTGATCCCTGTACGTGCGGAAGGGCGAGAGGGTACATCCAGCGGGCTTGCGCAAAGCACCCTTCTAACCGGTCGCTAGCGGTGCACCAAGTTTGAACGCAATCGGCCCAGCCGTTCCTGAGATCTGGAAGCGGCATTCTGCACGTGCGCACGTGCAAACGGGGCCCAAAATGACTTTTGCACGGCACCCTACTAACTGGTCCCCAACCGTGTACCAAATTTGAGCGCAATTAGCCCAGCCGTTCTCGAGATCTGGAAACGCCCCCTGCACGTGCGCACGTGCAGTAGCACCCTAACCCCAACACATGGGAATGCATTGCCTGGTGGGTGCCTACCTGTATGCCAAGTTTCAGCGAAATCGCCCCAGTAATTACCGAGTTACTGAAATGGGAAAAAATTTGGCACCTCTTATTGTTGTATTTTGCACGTGCGCTGGGGGTGACCCACATGCATCGAGAGTATCCTATTTTGGGTAGAAGGGATGCTGCTACCCTACAAAAATTACCGCAAGTCAATCGTCCAAACGGCTGCTGAGATATGAGCCTCTCAAAATCACTACTTTTGCAAAACAGCTTGAACACCCTTGACTTTTCACGTGGCACGTGCCACGACGGTCACTGAGATGTATCAAAAGTAGTCAATTACGGGGTAGAAGGGATGGAGCTACCCAACAAAAAAGACCGCAGGCCAATCGGTCCAGCGGTTGCTGAGATATAAGCCTCTCAAAAGCGTTACAGGCCGGGCCGGGCCGGGCCGGGCCGGGCCGGGCCGCTCATACTGAGATTTTTCCGTTATATTGAAAAGACTCACTTCGCTCGCTGCGCTCGCTCGCTCGTAATTACGCCCGCAAACTCAAAATCCGCAAACTCGCAACCCGCATGCGAGTTCCAGTGTGGGCGGCCTGAGGCGGAAACGTTTCGTGAAACTAACTGACTTTTCATCAACCCCACCGAAAGCGATCTGTAAAAAAAAAAAACACACACACGCACACCACGAAAGTGCAAATAGGTCAAACTGCTAAGCTGTGTTTGGATGAAAAAACATTTATTCCGTATCAAACCAGCAATGCAACACATCAACTACCACATGCCCCTGAACAACAAGATACAAAACATGTTTCGAAACTTTAATAGCCCTAAGGCAATCACACCACAGCTATCAACCAGCTAACCCCATATATGTTATAGCATCTACCCAAAAAAAGCTATCAAAATAAAAGCACTCTTCGCGATGTCGCAGATCACATATCAGATCAACAATATCAATAAAAAATTGCACTTCTGCAAAATATAATCACTATGACATCTCTAGCTCTTTGGATGGTAGGATCCAGCTGATTGCTTCATTGATCATTGGTCCGATGTCTGAGTGGCGGCCGGAGCCGGCTGGATGGGATGACGATCACAGGTACCGCAGGAGGCCGACCAGCTCCTGGACGCCGCAGGGACCGCGCTCAGAGGCGGCCGCCACCTGGCGCTGCACCTCCTGCAGCACGGCCATCCGGGCGCGGTGCTCCCGGCGCCGCAGCTCGGCGTCGCGCCGGAGCTGCTCCAGCTCGGCGGAGGGCGCCGTCAGACGGCGCACCACCTCCCGCAGCACGGCCAGCCGGGCGCGGTGCTCCGCGGCGCGCAGCCGGGCCTCCTGGCGCAGCGCCGCCAGCCGCGCACGGTGCTCCGTCCACAGCAGCGCCGTGCGCAGCTGCAGGTAGCGCTCCTCGGGCTTGGACGCGGCGGCGGCGGCGGCTGGCTCGGCGTCTCGCTGCCCTCCTCCCCCGCCCAGCCGGCGCGCCCAGCGCAGCAGCTCGGCGCGGCTGCCGGCCGGCCGGCGCGCCCGCCGGCGGCCGCCGCGGCGCCTTGTCGGCGGGGGACCTGTCGACCCGCGCCGCGTTAGGGCACCGAGATCTGAAACACGACAGCGTCGGCTCAGCCTGCAGCCGTCCCGCGTCGGTATGTGACCGGCGCTGATCCGTTGGCCACCGCCTCTCCGGTGACAGCTCCTCTTCTAGCCAGTACAGCCACACACTGCAACTGGCCGTCCCGAGCCGCAGCGGCTCGGTCTCCACCAACACAGAGAAAACGCACGGCAGCGAGCTGGCCCACTTGCTGCTGAGGAGGGGCGTTTGAACAACGCCCTGCAGCTAAATCAGATTCATAATTCAGAATCATTCACAATGGTTTATTCACTTGAAGGCGCTCAACGAAATGATGCTATCCATCCGAACGTTTATATTTGAACAGCAGTCGCACTACACCGTTCTGAGTGATCTATTTGAAGAAGAAGAAAAATCAGGATGTCGTTAATATTTTAGTGCATATAAAATACATGCGGAAAAGTTATACCAGCTGCCAGACTTCCTATCAGCGTCGCACCAATTGTTAAGTTCAGGGTAAGTAAGCATGTCGTGACATCATTAACGGTTAGTCAAAAGCCTCATGAAACATATTCAATACTTTTCAACTAAACACGCTCTGGCGTGAAGGAAAGGATCTCATCGGTTCAAATGCGATGTCTTGATAAATCTGCTACTTGAATCCGATGAAAGTAAATATTGAGAAAACAGTGTGCAAAACGGTCAAGCTATTCCAATGATTCCAATGTAACAAGCTGATATCCAGGAAACCTCCGTTAATTACCCCTCCTCTGGCTCCACAAATCTTACAAACGATCCGTTATTCTAAGTACCATCCCGGCGCTGACAGACAGGTCGGTCCGTGTCCCCTTTTCCCGACCTGTCCATACAATCACCGAAGACGGCCGATCGGTGCGACAAAGGGCCGTCCCAGCCCGCCACTATTACCGACTGAATGGGCTGCCGGCCCGCGGCGGGCCTGTTTTCGGCTCGGCATTTCTTATTCTGCGGAGCGGACCGGTCACTCTCCGTCCGAGATGGGTCCGCTGATGTACTGTCTGTCACTCAAAAGTCCGGACCGGTCGGCAGGGAGGGGGAGGGTCTCCTCGCGCTGGGATGGGGAGGGGGAGCAGCCCCCGGCAGGTGGGACCTTGAGTGAGACCGTCCCCTCCTTGATCCGCTTACCTACCCCTCCTGGACAATTCTGACGGTTCCGGGTCTAAGAGGCAGAGTCCCTGCTTCATCCACCTCATATCTTAAAAAGTACCGGGTTGAAAGGAAGACGGGTCTTACGGTCAAACAACTTCACTACAGCACCGCAAATGACGCCTGATGGCAGCACACATAATCAATATGCGCATTGTGGATTTAAATATCAACAAGGTCTTTAAGAATGACATCTGACCGTAAAATCAACACAAAGGAGACTTGCTATCCGATCGCACGGTAAACGTATGGATCATATATCCCGAAACGCTTTTTGCTAGGTCCTACTGAAGTTATTTCGGGTCGTGACACGTGGGATGATTTATTAGGATTCAGGATAAATATTATTGGAGCCAACTTCTCCGACAGGTGGCTGGAATAGTGCACATATAGCTGCTAACATGTCCATTGTCCACGCATGCGTGAAATACCCAGTCATGTGGTCCCTTCTGTCTTGTGTCATGGTGTGTACCAAAAGCAACGGCTTGTGGCCCAGTCCGAGGCCATCAACAGGTGGTGAGCTACTGGTGTCCCCTGTCTCTATTAAACGGTAATAGCATGGGTAGGGCAGACTCGAGGACAGTGATCGGGAGTCCGAGCTGACCTGAGCTAAGTGGGACTGAATCTCCTTGCACGGGCCTGACTCGAGCCCGGGCCTGACCTGAGCTGGGTCGGGAGGGGACTGACTCGAGCCCGGGACTGACCGGAGCTGAGTCGGGAGGGGACGGACTGCTCGCACGGGACTGACTCGAGCCCGGGACTGACCTGAGCTGGAGCTGCCGGTGGCCGCCGCCCGCCCGCTGGCTCCCGTCGGGCTGGGGCGCCGCTCCGACTGCTCCGGAGCCGGCGGGGAGGCGCGCTCAGATTGGCTGGCACGGCTGGCCGGCCGGTCAGCGTCGGCAGCGGCCGACTGACGCGACTGGCGACCCGACTCGCGGTCCGCCGCTGTGGGACACGGGGCGGCAGACACGGTCAGACAGGTCAGCAGAAACGGTCAGATGGACGGTCAGATGGACGGCCAGACGGACTGCCAGACACAGACGGAATCTACACTACGATTCATTTTTTTAGCACTGTCAGCAGCTAAAGAAAAACACTTCGAAATAAATCGAACAGTTTTAAAAAGAAGTCGGTGGGCATATCACCAACACAGGCAACACAGGGCAGCGCACAAACGGGGCTCGTGGCAGCCATCAGCCAAAGCGTTTGACCAACGCGGACAACTGTTGTTAATTGGGGCTTTAGGGCGTGCCGACTACTAAGGTCATTTCGCGCCCATATTATATCGACTCACCGATAAGGGCGCGCGCCGGGTAGACGCGGAGTCCGTTAAAGGCGTTGACGACGCGCGCGATGTGCGGCAGCTGGAGCAGCAGCTCGGCGCAGCTGCGGTAGCCGCGGCCCTGCCAGTCGAGCGGCTCGTCCGGCGCGGCGGCGTCGTGCAGACTCGGCAGCCGGTCGGCCGGCACGCCGTCCGGATGGGAGAGCAGCACCTGCGCCAGCCGGCCGGCCACGCGCGCCGGCACCGGCTCCGGGCTGGTCCGGCCCGACGGCGGCTTCTCCGGCCGCTGCGGCTGCGGCGCCGGCTTCGTGGGAGACTGCGGCGCCGGCTTTGTTGGAGACTGCGGCTTGGATTGCATCGGCGGTTGCGGCTTGGACTGCATCGGCGGTTGCGGCCTCGACTGCATCAGCGGCTGCGGCCTGGCCTTCGGCGCGTCGTCGTCTGACGGAGATGTTTCCAGCGACCGGTGCCAGTAGTAGGAGGACGACTGCTGGGAGCGGTAGTTGGGTGGCCGCGCCGGCGTCGAGCGGCGCACATACCGCGATGCCAGCACGCGAGCCGTGGCGCCGCGCTTCTGCGACGGCTTCTGGCGCTCGACCATCTTCTGGATGTGTGCGGTGGAGCTGTCGGCGACGGCCGTCACCAGACAGTCGCCGCCGGGCAGCAGCTGGCACCGGCACACGTCCGGGATCGACTGCAGGAAGGCGCGCGCCGTCTGGAAGCCCAGCTGCCGGAACGGCAGCGGGCTGAACACGAGCGACTGGTAGTCGCGGTACAGGTCCTGGATGGCCAGGCCCGACTTGGCCGAGATGAGCAGGCTGCGCACATCGCGCTTCACCTGCGCCATCAGCTGCTCCCGGTCGCCGGAGGACGCCATCGCGAGCGGGGCCTGCGCACACAACACACTCGTCAGACATAAAGATCATGAACAACTGCTACTCGCTAGGAGGGCGTATCTTTTGAGGCAACAAGCTCAAGCCGGAACCTTAAGTGTTAACTGAAAATGTATTCTACTGTACAGGAGTTCCGCACAGCTAAAAGCAAAGCCATGCATAGTTTGGAACTGTGTCGTCCGGTACCAGTTTCCAAACAGCTGAAACGAAATTCGCAAGTGTAGGTGTTGAAAATTTTTATTTGAAAACGAGGGCTACCCATTATCGATGGCAGCATCTAAATGACTAGCTGCTCGCAGAAACTTGAGCTTAAATACGGCTACAAATAAAAAGTTGCTCATCAATTGCATGCGTTTTTCGGCGAAGCCGTACTGTAGCTTTTATTTTATAAATTATGTATTAATTTGTAAAATTGTCAAAATGGGGAGAGTTTAACGGTAAAATCTTGCCTTTGATGGTCTTCAGTGACCTCAACGTTGACCTGAGCGATAAGTGGCAATTATGCTTCCGAAAGAACTTTACAGAAAGCTATCGATTGCCTTTTCTACCTTTCTTAGTTTCTGAGGTAGGCTTAAAACGCCACCTTCCCTTCCCCCCACCATAGCGAAGTTGGGTGAGACCCATACCCGGGCGCGGATCAAACATACGGGCTTTAAATCACTCAGCCGTTCCTACCGCCAATGACAATATGCAGTTTTAAGCACGGTAGAACTGACCTTGCGACGTCTGTTGAGCGGACGGGACGGGCTGAAAATACGACTGGATCCGACTATGCCCCGCGACACGATGGATACTGTGTGTCCCCCTCAAATGGTCCTGTCCACAGGCGCCGCCACCGGCGGTTCTGACGTCACAGAGGGGCGCGCTCAAAGGGAGGCAAACAGGCGCTGAGGGACGCGGCGAGGACCGTGATTAAATTTTGACAGGTTGATGGAGTTGGAGACGGGAGAAGGCCCGCTGCAGTTTGCTGATCAACACTACAGACCCACTACCCGATGAAATCGCCCGCGCTCGATGGCCGATTTACAGGAAGATTTCATTCAGACATCCAATTTCTAATGTAAGGTAAGTACTAGGCATGCTACTGTCTTGGCTGATGCTAATCGACCGGCACAAGAGGCGACAGGTCACCCTTTAAGATCACGGTCGCACGCGCAAACATAATTCCACTGCGCCCTTCTCAGAGAAATGTCTCCACTTTACCTTTGAAATAGCCTACAGTAGATGCTGTAGGCTTGAAGTGTCCCCAACTAAGCACGCTGATAAAAACGACTCCAAACGACGCTATTGTCTCGAGAAAGATTTCACCGGTGAAGGTCAATTACCCCGCGTTCGATGTCTCTCGGACGGCGAAGATTCTATGCCGTCCGTCCAATCACATTTCATAACCGCAGCCGAGCCCCCGCTGACCTTGGACGGGATTGGCCGGACGGCAAAGAATCTTTGCCGTCCGGGAGACATCGAACGCCGCCTTCGATTGGGGTCATGGAATTTTGAGTGTAGGTGTAGAACTGATTAACTCGGCTCGGTGGTAGTGGAATTTACGTTGTGATACGCTGCTCCTTCCGCGAGTAATTCGTGAAAACCGGATGGATTCATCCGCGATTGAAAATTGACATAGCACTGCAAAACGAGGACTAAAAATCGACTGCTGAAGTTATTCTACATGTACCTAATGGTTTATGAAATTCACAGCATGTACCTACATACACAGTATGTACACAGTATATACGCCAAAATATGGCCATAGGACCCAGGGATAGAGAATATATGATTTTTTTGTGCTTGAGCACCCTCGTAAATTCACATATTTCTATATACAGAGATTTAAAGGTTTCTAGATGTAGTAATGTTCCAGTGGTGCTTGGCTTTCATCTGAGACACAAACTGTTTTGTGTAAGTTGCGAGGACAGTGATGCTGTTGGGAAAGCGTAGCTGTACCTATGTGCTTTAGCATGCAAGAAGTTGTCTCTGCCACTCGCAAGGTGCTAGAAAAGCACCCCCTTGAATTATGAGAATCCTCCACCTCTAGTGATGACTGTTCGGCACACCCCATGGAGGACGTTGCTTTGGCCCTACGGCCATGCCACCAGACAGATAGCCAATGAGCGCCAATCAGGCCTTACGCCGATGGATCAAGACCCCATGAGCTGTGCTTAGTATAAGAATCAGATTAAAGTCATATTCTGGTGCAAACACCAAACATCCCAGCAGAGCGATTCGTGACGAAAATGTACCAGCCTGCAATGCAGTTGCTCAACCCGACCGCGCCGGACAAAAACTTCAATAGCGCCGGTCTGCCCTGTGCTAGCGCCTTAATTCTTTCACGGTGTGGCTCGGAAATGGTTAGGGAACGCTATGGTATGGTGCACTAACGGGCACACACTGTGCAAACTGCTGTAGGTGAAACGAAAGCAAATATTTTTAAGTAAAAAAACTGCGATTGCAACATGATGACAAATGATTAGATCACTGCCAAACCAAAAAAGATGGCGTCAGGTTACAGCTCTCATTGACACAGGGAGCTCTGAAAAGTTCATCAGCGCAAAGCTCGTCCCCGCACTCGGCATGAGGGTGCTGCCACGATCGTCTAAAGTCTCCATGGCATCGTCCAGTCTCTCAACACAGGTGCGAGGATACCTACTGCGTGTCAACCGTGACCGTTGACGATCGGGAGTACCAGGAGGTCGAACTGTCCATCCTCCTGGATCTCTGCACGGACGTCATTCTCGGCATTCCGTTCCTCCAAAGACACGAGAGTGTAACCCTGGAGCTCGGTGGCGACGAACCCGAGCTCAGTATCTGCAATCTCGCGCAGATGAAAGTCAGTCAGGAGGCATCCCCGAGGCTCTTCAGCGACCTCACCCCCGACCGCCATCCCATCGCGACCAGAGCACGACACTTCAGCCACGTGGACGAGAAGCTCATCGAGAACGAAGTTCAACGTCTGCTAAACGAGGGCGTCATCGAGCCAAGTCGCTCACCCTGGCGTGCCCAAGTTGTCGTCACACACACGGAGAACAAGAAGAAAAGGATGGTCGTTGACTTCTCTCAGACTATCAACAGATTCACTGAACTGGACGCGTATGCTCTGCCGAACATCGGCGAGCTCGTCAACAAGGTCGGGAAAAAACAGCTTCTTCAGCGTGCTCGACCTCTCCAGCGCCTACTACCAAATCGAGAACGACGCATCTGAGAGACCCTACCTACACAGCGTTCCAAGCGGCAAGAAAGCTGTACCAATTCAAGCGAATCCCCATGGGGGTGACGAACAGCGCAGCCGCCTTCCAGCGCGTCATGAATGACATCATCGCGGCCAACAACCTGAAGGAGACCTATGCTTGTTTGGACGACCTGACCATCTGCGGCCAGACGAGGGAGGAGCACGATGAGAACCTCCGGGAGGTTGCCGATGCGCTCCACCTCACGCTGAACAGAAGCAAGAGCAAGATCGGCCTGGAGACGGTGAATACCTATCCTCGGTTATTCCATCCAGCGAGGCCAGCTGAGACCGGACCCCGAACGAATGCGTCCACTTCAAGAGCTGCCGGAACCCTGCGAAAAGAAGTCTCTGCAACGGCTCATTGGCCTGTTCGCGTACTACGCCAGATGGATCCCCTCATACTCTGAAAAGATCCGTCCCATCATCTCTGCATCGTCGTTCCCTCTGAATCCTGACTGCAGAGCGGCTATCCAGCAGCTGAAGAAGGACATCTCACAAGCGGTCGTCGCCGTCATCAGAGATGACGCCCATTCACCATCGAAACAGACGCTTCCGACGAAGCATTCGCAGCGACTCTTACCCAAGACAAGCGTCCTGTGGCCTTCTTCTCACGCACTCTGAACGAAGCCGAGAAGCGTCACAGCATCGTCGAAAAGGAGGCCTACGCCATCGTGGAGTCTATCAGAAAGTGGAGGCACTTCCTAACCCACCACTTCAACCTGCTCACTGACCAAAGAACCGTGAGTTTCATGTTCGACAACAAAGTGTCGAGCAAGATCAAGAATGAAAAGATTCTTCACTGGAGAATCGAGCTCTCGCCACTCTCGTACACCATCAAGTATCGACCAGGACGAGAAAACATTTCTGCTGATACGTTCAGCCGCGCCCACTGCGCAGCCGCCTCACATCCGGCCCTGGAGCAGCTGCACGAGTCTCTCGTTCACCCCGGAGTAACGGGGTTGCTGCACTTCGTGCGCAGCAAGAATCTGCCCTACTCCGTGGATGACGTGCGCCGCGTCACCTCCAACTGCCCGGTCTGCTGTCGATGTAAGCCGAACTTCTTCAGGGCCACCTCCGCGAAGCTGGTGAAGGCTACATCTCCATTCGAAAGAATCAACGTGGACTTCAAAGGTCCCCTACCCCCAAGTCCGAACGGCAACCAGTACATCCTCACTATGACCGACGAGTTCTCTCGGTTCCCGTTCGCCTATCCGTGCCGGGACATGACAACCGCCACCGTGATCAAATGCCTCACTCATCTCTTCTCCATCTTCGGGATGCCGGCATACGTGCACTCCGACCGCGGTTCAGCTTTCATGTCAGCTGAGCTTCGATCATTCCTGACAGGACTGGGGATCGCCACGAGTCGCACGACACCGTACCACCCCGAAGGCAACTCACAATGTGAGCGGCTTAACAGCACCATCTGGCGTGCCGTTCAACTCGCTATGGAGAGCAGGAAGTTGAGCAGAGGACAATGGGACGCCGTCCTGCCTGACGTCTTGCATTCTATCCGGTCTCTGTTGTGCACAGCAACAAATGCCACCACACACGAAAGGATGTTATCTTTCCAGCGGCGGTCTGCGACGGGAACTTCTCTACCATCCTGGCTCCTCAACCCCGGGCAGGTTCTCTTGAAGAAATACGTCCGCGGAAAGCTTGACCTGCCAGTCGAGCCAGTCGAACTCCTGGAGGCGAACCCGCACTACGCTTTCGTGCGCTATCCCGGCGGTAAGGTCGACACGGTCTCTGTGCGAGATCTCGCCCCCGGCGGTTGTGCACAGCAACAAGGAAACGAGAAGGGAGAGGAAGCGGGCGAGCCGGGGTCCCCGGGCATCCGTTCGGAGCCCTCGAGCACGCCACTTTCGAGCCGCCAGTCCCCGGTGCCCTCAAGTGCGCCGCCATCGCACGAGTCAGAAGCGGTCCCGGGACCCTCAAGCGCCCCGCCATCGAGCGAGTCAGAACCGGCGACCGAAGTGCGTCGGTCTAACCGGACAAGGAAGCCAGTGGTGCGCCTTAACATATAAGAGCGTGTACTGAGGCGCTCATCGAAGCCAGACGTGCGCCTTAGCTTATGCAAACGTGTACAAAGACGCCTGTTGCGTTGTTTGCTACATAGCTGCTCGATTTCTGCCTACTCTGTCTTTTGTTCGTTACATCGCTACTCGATTTCTGCCTACTCATGTCTTTCACACAGCGGGGAAAATGTGATAAACCACCCATTACTGTTGAATGTGGTGCTCTCGCTAATATCTGTTGTTTCTGTTTCGTCCTCAGGTGCACACTCATATCGGTCGAATTTAGTTGAATAAGACCATTGTATTCATACTATAACTTTTGGTACCACAATGACGTTTAATGACCGCACATGTCAATCCAAATAGGTCTAAAATAGTTTCAAAAAGTTGATTTTTTCCCCAAAGCTGTCAACTTTGACCTCATTTCGAGACCCTTAAATATCATTAGTTTTCAAAATCATTTTGCACATATTTCTTATGGGGATGGAACCAGAAAACGACCAGCACGCCTAAAAATTGGATAAAATCAAATTCACCCTATTGCTAAGTACCTACCACCCTAACCTTTATATTTAAAAAAGTTTCACTTATCTAGTCATACTAGTCATAATGAATGTTCAAGGTTAGTGTAATATCCCTCGCCTGTATAGGTGGGTGGGGGTGGGGGGGTCGAACGGACCCCCCCCCCATGGTTTTTCGCGAATAACTCGCGTAAAAAGCGGCCGATCGCGACGAAACTTTCAGCACCCTCGCGTTCATCAATTTCACACCTATCCTGAAAATTTCATGACCCTGACCCAAATGACCTTTGACCTGTGACCTACTTTTCGTGACCATGTTTGGCTGGAATCGCGATTCGGCGTATGTCGGCTCGCATTAGCCGCGTGTTTGCAGTCTTTTCGTGGTTTCAAGCAATCAAACATGTGATATGATGTTGCCCCCATGCATTAGGGCGGGTGTCAAGGTCACCTGAAGGTCAGGTCAGGTCATTGACCTTTGATGACCTCGGTTCACTTTTTCGAGTTTTACATGTTTCTATGCCAGTTTTTGGGGCTGAATTCGAATTTAGCAGCCATATGAACATTTACGAAGTAGTTTTGGTGCCTTCGTAACATGTTACGAAGCTGTCAGAGGCGGTTGCCACCTACTACAAATACCCTTACTGGTTGACCTGAACTGACCTGATCCGACCTGGCCTAAATACATGAAGACATCATCTGTGATCAAAACTAACATGATATTCGTGATCAGCACCCCGAAAAAACCCATAGCAGCCACACTTAAAACGTTCTAACAGGTCCCGATTTTCCTGCCTTTGGGGTCATTGACCTGACCTGCAAGGTCAACCAATGACCTAGGCCCTTAAAATTGGGTATCATCGGCTTCCTCTCGTCACGGGCAACACGCTCGTTTTTTCCGCGAAGCTCTAGCTCGATCAGGGGCGAAACGGCAAAGGGGGTCCAACGGACCCCTCCCCCCTTATACGTTCGCGGCTGGAAAAACACCAATACGGGCGAGGGTTATGAGGTTATCAAGGTTAGGTTAGGTTAGGTTGTAGCAGGAAGGTTCAAGGTACGGTTAGGTTGTAACTTGTAGGTTAGGTTAGTTTGAAGGTTTGTACATTTTAGATTGTAGGTTGATTGATAGGTTTGTAGGTTGTAGGTTGGTAGGTTGCAGGTTTGTAGGTTATAGGTTGGTAGGTTGCAGGTTTGTAGGTTATAGGTTGGTAATTAGGTTTTAGGTCAGTACCTAGGTAAGGTTAGCTCAGGTTTGATAGTGTTTTTCTGGTATTTGCACCACATGTTAATGTAGCATATTTGGATTCAGGATGTCACATTAGTTAACCTTCGCCCCAGTGGGGGAGGGGCATATGTTACCATCCTGTCGCGTTTTTTTTGCGCGTGAATAAAAAACCGCGGCGCGTAGCGCCGCGCCGCTTGGGGTAGCTTTTGGTACATCAATTTTGGACAATGTGTGAAATTTTTGACCCCAGGTCATGTCAGGTCAGGTCACCAGGTCACGTTAACTGACCAAGCCTAAAAAAGTTTGCAATCATGTCCAGCCTGCAGTGTTTGTCAGAAAGGTTTGAAACTTGGTGGATTGCATGATGTTATGGGCGCCTACAATTTGTATATCTCGGATTTTTTATATCCGTGACCTAAGGTCAGGTCAGTGGCGTGACCATTCCATTACAAGTCAATGGAGAAAATGATTTAGTCCACTCGTGATGACCAAGGTGTCATTTTAGCTGATAGCCTCTAGACAGATCATCCGAGGTCACTTGAGGCTACAAACAGTTTTTTGCCAATAACTCGCGATTGGAAAGAGATAGAACGCTGGGGATGGTCTCATTGTGTTTGCCTTGTTGAGACGCATCGACTGATGTGCAACATGACCTTTTCCGGTAAGGTCATGACCTTGACCTGAGGTCAAATTTTGAAGTTGACCTTTCAAGGTCAAATTATAGTTCATTCGACGCGTCTCGGCGAGGAGAACACGATTCTGGCAATAGAAATGTCGTGGCTTTTTGTAGTCGAAAGTTATTGTCGAAAAACACTTCGTAAAAACAGCTATTTTTAGAGTTTTTGCCCTCTGGAGGCTAAACCCTTGACCTGAGGTCAATATTGATAATGGCCTTTTCAAAAGCAGAGTTCAAAAGCTATCGATTGCTCTTCCATGCGTTATTCTAGCTACCATAGTTCCTGAGATAGCGGCATATTTTCTGAAAAATATAATGACAATCGGCAAATTTTGACCTTTGATGACCTCTGGTGACCCCAATATTGCTCTAAGATGAAAAATGACCGAAATACTTTCATACATACGCATTGAGAGCTATAAACTGCTTTTTACTGCATCTTTCTATCCCTCTTAGTTTTTGAGTTAGAGGTGGGTGGTAACATATGCCCCCCCCCCCACTAGGGCGAAGTTGGCTGAGACCGCCACTGGGGCGCGGGATAAGAATATGCCCAATTCATGTTTTAAAAGTGAATCGAGCTTTTTCTGTACATTTACCGGTTAATCTGCTCCTAGAGTATGTACCTAACCAGTGTACCAACTAAATTTGGTAACTTTCACTAAAAAAAATCATGCGGCTGCTCTGCACTGGAAAATGCAACTGCCGCCATGTGCCATATTCTGCTCATGCGAAGCTATGCCTGACGTGCGCTGAAATTTTCGGCACGATCCCAACACTTTCCCAGACATATTCCTCATAGTGCATTTTTCCAGTCTGGCCCTTCTGTAACATTTTTAACCCAAGGAATTGAAAAACGCACTGGGGAGGAGTTTCTCCCAAGGATAAGCCAAAAACCTTACCTGTTAGTGCTTAGGCATACATTTGGTAGAAGCCGGTTCCAGCCGAATTCCTTGTATTGTCGTCGGTTTCCTTCACCTGCTCAAAAGATCGTACTTTGAAGCAATGTATGGATGAACACAATTAGACGTTATGATAATGCTTAATACAACAAAACCGTGAAATTAACAGCAAACATATCATACCGCTCCTACAATGAAAAACGCATGGACACGTGCTTACGGGGTAAACTACTTGAAATCAAGGTTAAAATGAAAAATTTCTGCGTTGATCTCAGAAAGTTTGTTCAATTGTTGGTGCTCCTGAAATATTAGCCAATGAAATTAGAGGAATTGCTCAATTTGCCGTGCGCCTTGTGCCGTGCCTTCAAAGCGTGTAAACTTTTGGAAAAAGCATGTGAAAGGTAAGAACCCTTAGTTTTCCAGCTTGAAGACCGATAATCAGCAGGTTTCTTTTAATCTCACCATAAAATTACTCCGTTTGCAACTAATTTTTCTCACTAAGCCAGACAATCCACCAAGCCAGACAACCGTGAGCAGAATAATTTACATGCGCAGGAAGCTTGAGCAGCTTAAGCTGAAGTGTATTGAATGATATATCTTTAAACCTCGGATCGTGACGTATAAATCCCCCAAAAGTCAAATGCTGCTTTAAATTTCATAATTTCATCAGTTCATTAAAAACTGTGGCTTAAATTTATTTATGTTGCGTCAATCTTGAAGATATCAAGGGCTTAATAATATTTTTTGAATTAGTTATTTTTCTTACGTCAAGTTCTTACATTTTCATTTACAACTCCACTATTTTGAGCTGGCGCGGTTCTCGCGCCATATTTGAAACTTTCAAACGGAAAAAGGGGAGAAGGTGCGGAGCGGCGGCAATATGATATTATTTATTTGATGCTTCCCATCAGTGCTGCCAGATTTGGAGGATTTCCGCAAATCTGGAGGATTTTGAACTCTATTTGCGGACAAATTTCGCTTTTGGAGGATTTTTGATTCTGGAGGAAAATCTGGAGGATTTGTCGCCCGATTATTATATTCAATATCATGGAAAAATATAACACATTCGAGACTAAAAAGGCATTTTCCTGCCCAGCGTCACCCTACCCGTTAGGATACATCACGTCCTTTATCACCGTGAGACTGCAGAATGTCTCAGTCTGTAGCTATATCTACGAGGGTACCAAACTACTGGCGGATCTAAGGGGGACGTTTGGGGCAAATGCCCCCGGCCCGCCCTGCAGCACCCGATATCGACGAAAATTTTCGTTTTTTTTTTTGGAGGATAAAACGAAAACACAGCAGTGCGAAAGGATTCGAAATCCGATGAGTTTTGAGAATTTGGGGAAACTTTTTTGGGGGGTATAGCCCCTCGCAGCGTCCAAGACCGCCTTTCTATATATACCAATAGGATTTGGAGGAATCTGGAGGATTTTTGTAACTGATCTGGAGGATTACAGCCTTCCCCATCTGGCAGCACTGCTTCCCATTCACTGAGGGTGTTTCCCTAGTTGGCTCCTTGTTGCCTCCTTGTTCATATCAATATATAAATGTTACCTTAGATATATATCACGATTCGATATTATTAAGAAGCCGACCTTGCAACAAGACAGCTTGACGTCAAGGTAAGTAAACCTCTCTCATCTTGATCTGCAATTACTTTAGCAATTCAAATTACTTCACCTTGACCTTACCTTGTCTTATATTTTCCGGGTATTTATGCACAGTGGCCTGTGGTACCTGATTTTGTCGAACTTTTATGATAAACAATGAACAAGTAGCAAACAACAATTTAGCTTATTTTGATGCATGATTTCAGATTAAAAAATAGGCTAGTTTTTAGTTAACCCACGAGCTGCTGGGGGGCATTAAGTTGCCCCCTTTTCATTTGGTGGAATATCTCCGAAACATGATCAGCTACGAACATGAAACTTGGCATACTCATAGCTTCAAATGAATACCTAGACAATGTTTGAGGGAAGTTTGGTGGTTGTAGCACTTGAGATGACGTCACAGTGACGTCTGAAGTTTTGTCATTTTCTGATATTGACCATTTCTGATGTTGCTGAACATTAAACTCAACTGTAAATGAACTAGACAGCACCTGCTGTCATCCAAGTACACTTCCAACTAGTTTCTGACCAATAATCAGTCCTTTGTATTCAGTCTCATATATCAGATATATCATGAGGAAACTCAGAGTCGCAAATCTATAATTTGACCTCTGACGTCACTGTGACGTCATTTCAAATGGGATCAACATCAAATTTGGACACAAACTCGGGTAGGTATTCAGGAAAGCTTGTGCAAAGTTTCACTTCTCTTTGATCTCTTCGTGTTGGGACGATATCGTCGTTGAAGTAAAGGGGGGCAACCATATGCCCCCCCCCCCCCTGCGGCAAGTGGGTGGCACGGAGGCCCAGTGGCCGCTGGGTTAACCCTCGCCCGCACATGGGGGGGGGGGTGGTTGCCACCCCCCAGGTAGTCTTTCTGCTCTGCACTCAACATTTTTAGAGCTAGAAGGCTGAATTTTCGTATAGCTGCTCGTCTATCCTTTCTTGATGTCCACTGAAAATTTCAAGTTTCTGTGATTTTTGGTTTCGGAGATATGACCTTGTTTTTCAGGTCATGTCATGACCCAACTGGCCGATTCTCAACATCTTGCGTTTGCCATGGGCCTTGTGAGCTTTTGACACCCTGATTTCGGCCTTTTTTGCCAGTCTTACTTCCCACCTATCATGGAACATGTTGTTCGACGATGTACAGGGGTCAAGGTCAGGGTCAAGGTCAACCTAGGTCATCTAAGATAATTGCATTTTAGGCAAGCTGAATTTACTTTTTGTGAATTTTTTTGACTGCATTTTTGGTAAAAGCTTCTCAGATCATGATTTCATGTAATATGGACCCAAAAACAATCGGTGCACACATCAGTATACACACAGACACACACAGACATACAAACACATATAATTGACCTTGACCTAACTTGACCTGAAATGACCTCAGCAGCAAAATTCTGGTCGGTTACTGTGACAAAGAGGTTCTAGCTGGCTTGGCACCAGAAAACAGCATCGTCATCGGTATTTGATAAGCAACGCACTTGATATCCAACGGTGACCCAAAACAGCAACATTTTTTTTAGTTTGACCTGACCTGGAAGGTCAATGACTGACCTGAGAAGGTAAAACTGGGTATCATTGGATTCGTCTCTTCCCAAAGAATCTTTTTGGTCTTTACCGCTAAGCTCTATCTCCAACTGGAACGAAATGGCGCGGGGGGTGGCAACCCCCCCCCCCATGTGCGTTCTAGGATGGGAAAATGGCATGTGCGGGCGAGGGTTAAGTGTGACACTGAGCATATGCCAAGAAATTAATTGAAGTGATTCTGGACATTCTGACCCTTGTATGCCATTTTATGTATCTCCTTTCAGAATGTCTTCTGTAAAGAAGCCAGCCACCCCTTCTGGAAGACTTCCTCCAAAGTCTGTGAGAAGCCTTTCAAAAATAACACCATCTACCAGAGGAAAGGAAAATGAGCAAGACAAGAGTATATTTACTACACCAAAAGTTAAAATAGCAAAACGTGAGTCTCTGCTTCAAAGTAACCATGCTAATGAAAGCATCAGATTGTATGATGGTGATATAGAATATATTCAGTGCATGTATTTTATGATAGGTAATTGATTGTAATTTGTAGCTTTGCTTTAATCTTTCCAAGCATACACTCTATGTCATATGCATTTACTTATATAGTTAGTGCTTGCGCTCAACTTGGCAGAGGGAATAAGGCAGTTTTATCTTTTGAGCATTAATATAATCTTAAGTGTTCTTGGTAAATAAATTGTAAATAAACAGTAATGGACTGTATATGGACATTTTGTCCCAACAACAAGCTTTTGGCAATTCATTACTCAATATTTCCTGGGTATATAAAAATGGTTCATAAATGTTTGACAATTCATTCTCAATGTAGATAGAAATCTTAACTTATTTCACTAACTGCAGACCCTAACCCTCGCCGGCACAGGCCATTTTGCGTCCTTCGACGGCACAAGGGGGGGGGGGTACGACCCCCCCTCGCGTTTGGCCCCTGATCGAGCTAGAGCTTCGCGGAAAAACGAGCGTGTTGCCCGTCACGAGAGGAAGCCGCTGATACCAAATTTTAAGGTCCTAGGTCATCGGGTGACCTTCCAGTTCACGTCAATGACCCGAAAACCGGGAAAATGGGGACCTGTTAGAAAGTCGTAAAGTGTGGCTGCTATGTGGTTTTCCGGGGTGCTGATCACGAATATCGTGTTACTTTTGATCATAGATGATGTTTTTAAGCATTTAGACCAGGTCGGGTCAGGTCAGGTCAGGTCAACCGGTAGGGGTTGTGACGGGTATTCGTAATACGTGTCAACCGCCTCTGACAGCTTCGTAACATGTTACGAAGGCACCAAAACTACTTCATAAATGTTCAAATGGTTGCTAAATTCGAATTCAGCTCCAAAAACTAGCCTAGAAACATGTAAAACTCGAAAAAGTGAACCGAGGTCACCCGAGGTCACCAAAGGTCAATGACCTGACCTGACCTTCAGGTGACCTTGACACCCACCCTTATGTATGGGAGCAACATCAAATCACATGTTTGAACGTTTGAAACCACGAAAAGCTTGCAAACGCGCGGCTAATGCGAGCCGACATACGCCGAATCGCGATTCCGGCCAAACGGAAAAGAGGTCACAGCTCAAAGGTCATTTGGGTCAGGGTCATGAAATTTTCAGGGTAGGTGTAAAATTGATCAATGCGAGGGTACTGAAAGTTCGTCGCGATCGGCCGCTTTTTACGCGAGTTATTCGCGAAAACCTTAGGGGGGGGTTGCATCCCCCCCCTGTGCCGGCGAGGGTTAACATAGGGCATGTGATTAAATTCCAATGTCAAAATGTTTGTTCAGCTGTCTTAACCCTCGCGGGTGGTATCGGTTTTTCGCGAATAACTCGCGTAAAAAGCGGTCGATCGCGACGAAACTTCCAGTACCCTCGAGTTGATCAATTTTACACCTACCCTGAAAATTTATTGACCCTGACCCAAATGGCCTTTTACCTGTGACCTATTTCTCGAGACCATGTTTGGCTGGGATCGCAATTCGGCGTATGTCGGCTCGCATTAGCAGCCAGTTTAGCAGCAATTTAGCAACCAGTTTAACATTGACGAACTAGTTTTGGTGCCTTCGTAACATGCTACGAAGCTGTCAGAGGCGGTTGACACCTACTTACCAGCAGAACCCCTACTGGTTGACCTGACCTGACCTGACCCGACCCGGCCTAAATGCATGAAGACATCATATGTGATCAAAACTAACATGATATTTGTGATTAGCACCCCGAAATACCTCGAAGCAGCGACACTTTACGACGTTCTAACAGGTCCCGATTTTCCCGACTTTTGGGTCATTGATCTGATCTGGAAGGTCAACCAATGACCCAGGACCTTAAAATTGGGTATTATCGGCTTCCTTTCAGCACGGGCAACACGCTTGCTTTTCCACGAAGCTCTAGCTCGATCAGGGGTCAAATGGCAAGGGGAGGGGGTCAAACGGACCCCCTCCCCCCGTATACGCTCGCGGCTTGTAAACCACCAATACGGGCGAGGGTTAAATCTCTGCATGTTACTATGTAAGAATCATCATGTTTTGGTTGCTGGTTCTGGGAATTAGAACCCACACCACGATATTACAAGCTGTGTAGGATCTGGTAAGTATGTGCTGTGCAGCTGCCTCGGCGGCTCCGCCGTGTCATCTGCCCCCTGTGTCTGACCCGGGGCCGTGCCACGACAGGTGGCAGTCTGCGCACGCCGCTGTCGGTGGACCGTCGCCACGGCGCGGCGCCCAGCACCCCTGTCGGCGGCACCCCGGTACGGCGCAGCCGCGGCTCGGCCGGCGACCCGCTGGCCAGTCTGCTGGCCGACCAGGCCGTCACCGTTAAGGTTGGCGTGCGCGTCCGACCCATGACCGACAGGTGAGCCGCCGGCCGCGCTGCGCAGGCGGTACCGTCGGTACCAGCGGTGTGTCCAATAATCAGTTGTGTTGCTGAATTAATCGTGCAACCATTTTCAAGCAAATTATTCCAAGACTGATGTCTTAGTTGCACTATCTTTAAAGTGGTTATCAAACCAGGATTCTGTGTGTGACAAGGAGCGCTCAGACCCGGACGTCAGCAGAATGGTCTCCGGTGACGGCTCCTGTTTGTATGTCTGTGTGTGACGGAGCGCTCAGACCCGGACGTCAGCAGATTGGTCTCCGGTGACGGCTCCTGTTTGTATGTCTGTGTGTGACAGGGAGCGGTCAGACCCGGACGTCAGCAGAATCGTCTCCGGTGACAGCTCCTGTTTGTATGTCTGTGTGTGACAGGGAGCGCTCAGACCCGGAGGTCAGCAGAATCGTCTCCGGTGACGGCTCCTGCGTTCTCCTGGACACCGAGCTGCACCCGTCACAGGCGTTCTACTATGACCACGTGTTTTGGTCGATCGACCCGGCGGACCAGCTCTTCCACAATCAGAAACAGGTGGGACAGGGGTGCACAAACTCGGTACCGGTCCGCGGCTCCGAGTTTGTGTACATGCTAACGACTGCCCCTGACCGATAACTGTGTTTCCAACTTTTTTTCTTGCATGTTCTGCTCCTCTCGATCATTTGAAGTGGTCAAACTGAAGCTTTTGCGATGTACGCACTCACTCCTAGATTATGAAGATTTGCTTTTGTATTTTTATTGTGACTTGCTGTTTGTTTCATTAGCTATTGATGTGCGATGCATTCAGGTGTACGAGAGTGTCGCCGCGCCGCTGCTGAAGAGTGCGTTTGAGGGCTACAATGTCTGCCTGCTGGCTTATGGACAGACGGGCAGCGGAAAAACGTACAGGTAATGCCTTTTCAGTCGCATGTTTGAAACCTGTCTGTGCTGACTGGCTGTATTGCTTTGACTCTAGACTTTCACGGCGTGTCTTGATTGCCTTTTCCCGTACCCTCTCCACCGCTGTACTTTGGTCGCTGACCCGTTTGGTCGGTGCACGCCTCAGTATGATGGGCAGGCTCGGCGCCGAGGATGCCGGTACGGAGGAACCCTGTGAGCTGGCCGGCGTCATACCGCGGTTCTGCGTGGACCTGTTCAAACAGACGGCCAGCGCAGAGTACCAGACTACAGTGCAGGTGAGTACCTATCAGAGTACCAGACTACAGTGCAGGTGAGTATCAGAGTACCAGACTACAGTGCAGGTGAGTATCAGAGTACCAGACTACAGTGCAGGTGAGTATCAGAGTACCAGACCACAGTGCAGGTGAGTATCAGAGTACCAGACTACAGTGCAGGTGAGTATCAGAGTACCAGACTACAGTGCAGGTGAGTATCAGAGTACCAGACTACAGTGCAAGTGAGTATCAGAGTACCAGACTACAGTGCAGGTGAGTATCAGAGTACCAGACTACAGTGCAGGTGAGTATCAGAGTACCAGACCACAGTGCAGGTGAGTATCAGAGTACCAGACTACAGTGCAGGTGAGTATCAGAGTACCAGACTACAGTGCAGGTGAGTATCAGAGTACCAGACTACAGTGCAGGTGAGTATCAGAGTACCAGACCACAGTGCAGGTGAGTATCAGAGTACCAGACTACAGTGCAGGTGAGTATCAGAGTACCAGACTACAGTGCAGGTCAGTACGAGCGTAACGTGCACTGCCGAAACTGCCAAGGTGCTCAGCAGGCCAGCATTGGTGGACCAGCTTCATTCATTTCCGTTTCATTCATTTCATGTCTGGCTTGAGACGTATTAATCATATGGGGAACATTAAAAGAGATGTGCTTTAGCTGGCAATGAACATCAACATTTTTTTCTTTTTACTGCCTTTCTCTTCGTTCATGGAGACATCGCGTGAGACTAACGACTCTCCCCTCTTCTAATGGCGCCACGCAGGTCAGCTACTACGAGATCTACCAGGAGCGGATCCGGGACCTGCTGGCCGCCTCGGACGACAAACGGTCCGGCCTGCGCGTGCGCGAGCACCCGAGCCTGGGGCCGCACGTGGTCGGCCTGACAGCCGTGGCCGTGGACGGCTGGCCGCTGATGAGGGTGAGCAGACGTGAGCAGTGAGCACTGCGGCTCAGGATACTGGGAAGGCTATCGTAGGTAGTTCCGCTTGATTTGAGTCATATGTAGATAACAGTAGAACAGTTCTAACAGTTCTACTGTTATCTATGTTTGAGTCTATCATGAGAAACTTAATCAGTGCAGACTGCATTGTCATAAAATGGTCGCCGATGACCGTAGATAGATGCAGTCTGTTTTCCCTAGAAACGCGAACACTATGATCGTTATTGGGATCTTGAGTTGCTGTTTTGCAATTTTAACTGGGCCGTGCCGACTCGTATTTGCACCGTGCACTCCAACATGGTCTCATGATGTCTTATGTTTGCGGTGGCTGTTCGGACAGAGTCTGATGGACCAAGGGAACCGGCTGCGTGCCACCGCCTCCACGGGCATGAACAACAAGAGCTCCCGGTCCCACTCGGTGCTCACACTCACCGTCACACAGACTCAGGTATGGCGTGGGCGACTGACTGCTGACACTCACCGTCATACAGACTCAGGTATGGCAGCGGCCACGGGGCAACGTACCGCCGGGTTTTAACACACCCTTGGCTCAGTTTTTAATCAACGGGCGCTGAACACAAAGCAAACTGTATTTGGGATGACGAGGCTGGTGGCGATGCCGTCAGGTCATGTCAGACCCCCAGTCCGTATCTCCTGCCTAATTTTTCACGCCTGACGCGGGTGTTCGACCGTCGTCCGGCCCGGTCACAATTCTTCGCTGTGGCGGCGGGCCGCTGTCCGCTTTGGCTGCTGACGGGTCTCTCCGCGCCCCCAGACGGAGACGGTGGACGGCGAACAGCTGGAGAGCCAGCAGACGGCCCAGGTCAACCTGGTAGATCTGGCCGGCAGCGAGCGTGTGGCGCAGGCGCACACCACCGGCGTCCGACTCAGGGTCAGTACGGACCACTCGGGGTCAGTACGGGCGGCTCAGGGTCAGTACGGGCGGCTCGGGGTCAGTACGGGTGTACGGGCGGCTCTGTAGACATCGAAAGGGGGCTGTGGCAGCTCAGCTAGGGTCTGACAGGGATCCTTTGGCGGGGATGGAGGGGGTTCGGCGGCAGCGGGCGGCAATTGGGCGCTGACGTTAGCAGAGCTGCACCAGTTCAGAGATCTGGAGTGTGAGGGAAGCCCTGTCTAGTGTGTCATTAAGACATGATTTGTGTCGGTGAGTTGTTAGTTAAAGTTATTAGCTCTCCTCTAGTCCTCTCGTGTTGGTGGTGAGCTGTCTGAGCCCGCCAAGCCCTCACCTGTGACCTGTGACCGGACAGGAGGGCGTGGTCATCAACAAGTCGCTGCTGACGCTGGGCAAGGTCATCATGGCTCTGGTGGACGGCGGCAGGGCGCACATTCCCTACCGGGAATCGGCGCTCACCTGGCTCCTCAAGGTACGCATGACGCCGGATGACGGTGTCCGACAGACTCTTTTTGAGACTACTGGCTGAATGTGATAGCTTGTGTGCGGCGATGCGTATTTGAGAACCATAACATCATCATGTTCACTGTCCAATGTCCAGTCTAGTGTTCTATCAGCTGCGCTCTCCCTTGTCCCTACTGACCAGATGTTCCGTGCCCCCACCAGGAGAGCCTGGGCGGTAACTCGCGGACCGCTATGCTGGCCACCATCAGCCCGTGCTCGTCCCACGCCGAGGAGACGCTCTCCACGCTCCGCTACGCCTGCAAAACCAACCAGATCGTCAACAGCGTGCATGTCAACGAGGACCCGCGCGCACGAATCATACGGTCAGTCGGCGGGCGATGCAGGGCGGGTGAGCGAGCGGAAATATGGGCTTACGAGTAACGACGAGTGGGTCCAGGTGAATACGGACATAGCACGGTTCTGTTGATGTAGTTAATCTGTATTCATCTTGGTTCTGTTCATGGTTCTAAGGGCAGGGTCTTGTAAAATGTTCTATTACAATAATTCAACGCCTTTCATTATCGTTTTCCAAACCGATTATGAACCGGCGACAAACAAACGGGACTAATTTCAGCTTAGCGTGCCGTGTTTTTTCTGGTGATGTGGATAGTAAGAACTAAGGACTGGTTTATCACTGCCCACTGAGCTCAGTCCTCTCTGTTGTGTGTAGTCCTCTGTCCCCGCAGGGGGCTGACCGTGGTCAGAGCTGCTGCTTAACCGGGGTCATCTGGCCCCGGCTTTGCGGCGGCTGTGACTTCGGCCAGTAAGGGGAGTAGCGCCCCCTCGGCCCCAGCTTGACGCGCGTTTGACCTGGACTTGCCTTGCTTACTGGATGGATTGTCTGCAGGATTGGCCCCGCAGGGGGTTGGCAGCGGCCTGGGTTGCTGTTGGACTGGGTTCCTTGGGCCCTTGCCCCGCGGCGACCCTGGCCTCGGCCAGCAAGGGGAGTAGCGCCCCCTCGGCCCCAGCTTGACCCATGCTTGCTTGCGACTTGCTTTGATTGCTGGATGGACAGATGGTACGGTCCGACTTTTCTTGGTTTCCGTGGTTTTGTTTCTCTTGAGCACCTTTTGTTTGCTTTTGCTTTGCTTCTCACCGGATGTCCGCGTTTCGTTCGATCACAGCTTTCTGATTTCTTTCCCCCTTTTTCGTTGTTTTTTGCACCCGCAGGAACACAGCCGAGTTGGGCTAGTGTAAGGGGAGTGGCGTCCCCTCGGGTACCAGCCGGTTTTACTAGGCTAGGCGAGCCGACCCGTACCCCAGGACAACGGGATCCTGGAGGTTGAGCCCCCCACCGTGCGGAGCCAGTCGCGGTGGCTGGGCAACACGCCTCTTTGGCCCTGAGTTCTGTAAGGGCGGGACACTCAGTGGGGCGCCGCACTTGAGGAGCCATTCCCAGTCGTGACGCCGCCGGGGGTGGTGTCGGAGAGGTGTCGCCGGCGGGGTTCGGGCACTTGTGCTCGTCCTCCGTCGGTGGGACTGATCTGTCGCTGCCCCTGGCGGTGACTCGGCTAGGCGTCAAGGGAGGAGGCGGTATCCGACCGTGGGGGGTGGTGAGTCTCTCTCTCCCCCGCGGAAGGTGCCGCCAAGTCCCGTACAGTCAGCTCGGCCGTCCTAGGCCTTGTAGCGGCGCCGTTGCGGAGCGTCGGCGGCCGAGCTGGCGGAGACCAACTCTTTCACATGGATAACTTGACCGATCCCCCTTCCCCCCAGTCCAATCCCTCGGCCTCGGCCGATCCTCGCCCGTTGGCCTCGGCCGACAGGCGAACGGTGCTCGACAAAGGTCCACGATCTCCTAAGATCCTTATCTTCCGGAGCGCAGACAGGGAGCTGAGCTCTCTGTCGCCCTTCCAGCGGAAGGATGGCTGCGACCGGTTTGGTTCAATCGTTCGTTGTGACCGGATGCGTGATGGCGCGCTGGAGGTCGAGTTCAGGAAAAGCGAGGAGGCGGCGAAAGCGTTGGACGCTACTCGCTTCGTGTTCTCCGAGGGACGGGCATCCGGCCGGAGGCTCGTCTCCATCCCGCTTACAGTGGAACCTCACCGATCTAAGAACTCCTCACGAGGGGTCATCAACTGTTTCGATCTGAGGGGAGTGAGCGACGAGGACATTGCGGACGGGCTCGCCGATTTCGGCGTGACAGCGGCTCGCCGCATCATGACGAAGAGAGGCACGGTCTCGACCAACAACATCATTCTGACGTTTGACTCGACTGACTTACCGAGTGAGATTCGTGTGGGCTACGTGAAGGTTCGCGTGCGGCCTTTCGTCCCAGCGCCCATGCGCTGCTTCCGCTGCCAACGTTTCGGCCACACAAAGGACAACTGCCGAGGAAGACCCACGTGCTCCAAGTGTGCTTCGCAGGACCACACTGACGAAACCTGTGACTCGGAGACCCCCCGATGCATCAACTGCGGAGAGGGGCAGACGCCGCACTCCGCGTATGATAGGTCTTGCCCTGCATACGTCAAGGAGAAAGAGATCATGACCATCAAGGCTACCAGAAATTTGTCTTTCAAAGAGGCCCGGGAGGTGTACAACCAGAGTCACCCGAAGACCTCGTATGCCCAGAAGGTGAGAGTCACAAACTCTACCGATGCCTCCCAGATGAGTGTAGCACAGCTCGTGCAGCTTCTCAAACGATTCGGCCTCACCGTCGTAGCCACTGGTGACTCAGCGGACACCACGGCGCCTCGTGCGCCGCCGAGCAACACAGAGCAGGCTGCTCTAGAGTCAGTGTGGGGTCCACCCAGTCCCGCTCCAGCCGCGAACGGTGATGGAGACGGCTGGGCCGTCGTCCAGCGCCGACAGGGTGGTCGGCGCCCCCCGGCGCAGGGTAAGGCGCCACCCACCCCGCCCCGCCCCCGACCGCCCACGGCGGTGCAGGAGGCGTTGCGGCGGGGGGAGGAGGAGAGGAAGGCACGCGAGGCGAGGAGGGCTCGCCTCGTCCAGAAGGCCCTCGAGGCTAAGGAAGCCTCGTCTGCCGACTCCGCCTCCGGGAGTGCCAAAGCGGCTGTTGCCGCTGACACCCCGGAGACACCTGAGGCGGGGACTCGGCCCATCATGGGTCCCCCGCCGCCTCCTCCACCTCCGCAGCGGCGGCCACCACCGCCGCTGCCAGAGACGCCTGTGTCGAGGACACAGGCCGCCGCCTCGACATCCCCGTCGGGGCGGCAACAGACCTCCGCGGCTCCAGGGCGCCTCGCCAAGCGGCAGACGCCCCCGAGCTGGTCACCCTCGGAGGGTGACGCCCCCCGGGCGAAAAAGCCCCAGCAGGGCTCGAGCCACGCCCGATCTGCCTCTGCTGAAGGGAGGCTACACCGAGAGGGCTCGGGGCATCCCCGTATCCGTTACGGGGGGAGCGCCTCCTCGGAGTTAGAGGACCTAGTCTAGTCTTTCAGTCTAGTCATTTCCTCTTTTATCCTTTTATCTTTTTCGCGCTATTGCGCTTTTTTACCAGGTGCATTTCTCTCGGTGCTTTTTACCTTTTTTGTGGTCAGTCAGGTATCTGTGTGCGCCTTTGCCTCATGTTATACGCGCCCTTTTTGCGCCTTTTTAACCACGCCTTTTATTCTACAGTGGAACTGTAGAGGCCTCCGGGCCAACTACCAGGACCTACAGTCTCTTATCCGTTGGCGCACACCCCTTGTTTTAGGTCTCCAGGAGACCAAGCTAGCGCCAAACGTTACCTTTGCCATCAAGGGCTACTCTGTTTTTAGAAGAGACCTGGACACCCCTACCATTGCCCATGGAGGTGTGCTTCTGGCGGTTCACCACAGCGTACCTGCTCGCCAGGTGCCGCTGCAGACTCCCCTGCAGGCGGTGGCCGCCAGAGTTGATTTCAACCACCGGGAACTGACAGTGTGCTCTTTATACCTACCACCAGGTATAGCGCTCCCGGTGGTTGAGCTGCATCGACTTGTCGATGAGCTTCCACCTCCGGTCCTGGTAGTCGGCGATTTTAATGCCCATAGCCTGGCGTGGGGATGCGACACGACTGGCACTCGTGGTCGACTTTTAGAATCTTTTATCCGCGATGAGGCGCTGTGTATTTTAAATACAGGACAGCGCACCCATTTTACAACACCCTCCGGTCAAACATCGGCTCTGGACCTGAGCTTAGTCAGTCCGCGGCTAGCTCAGCTTTTTACCTGGTCCGTCCATGACGACCCACTCGGGAGCGACCACTTCCCAGTGTGGCTGGAGCACCAGGAGTCCCCAGTGTCAGGCAACCGTCCACCTAGGTGGAATGTTCGGAAGGCCGACTGGGGCGAATTCCAGGCCGCCGTAGAGGCCACGGTTTTATCCAGAGCCGACGCCTCTGTGATGTCTACCGATGATTTTACATGTTTACTCATTGACTCCGCAAATGGGTGCATACCCAAGACGTCGAGTCAGCCTCGTCGTCCTCCGGTCCCGTGGTGGACCAAGGAATGCGGAGATGCGATTCGTGCCAGGAAGCGCGCTTTTAGAAAGTTTGACCGGAGTAGTACTACTGAGAACCTCATCGCTTTTAAGAAAGCGCGGGCTTTTGCCCGTCGCGTTTTAAAAGAGGCAAAGGCTGTTTCATGGCGCACGTACGTGAGTTCCTTAAACCGTTTTACTCCTACGACCCAGATATGGACACGCATGAAGCGCATTGAAGGCCGGTTCAGCTCTGTTCCGCTTCCGGTTTTAAGAGTGAACAACACGGACATATCCCACCCTTTAGACGTCGCAGAGACGATAGGCCGTGCACTCTATCAGCGCTGCCGAGGAGAGCCGTCCTCACGACCTGCACCAGCCGCCGTGGACTTCAGCACAGCTGAAAATTTGATGTACAATGAGCCTTTCTCTATGGCTGAGCTCACGTCTGCCATCAGCTCGTTGCGCAGCGTCTCAGAAGGTCCGGATGCTGTCCACAACGACATGCTCCGTCATCTCCCCGCAGTTGCCCTCGAGGCGCTGCTAGCAACCTTCAATTCGCTTTGGGAGACTGGCACTTTCCCTGAGACCTGGCGGGAAGCCACTATCATTCCTATCTTGAAGGCTGGCAAGTCGGGACATGACCCTCTCCACTATCGGCCCATCTCTCTCACATCATCGCTTTCAAAGCTGATGGAGAAGATGGTCAATGTGCGTCTTAGCTGGTTTTTGGAACATCACGGTGTTTTTACAAACGCCCAGTGCGGTTTTAGAAAGCACCGCAGCCCTGTTGACCACATTTTAGCCCTCGACACCGAGATACGCACCTGTTTTACTGAAAAGAAGCACCTTGGAGCACTGTTCTTTGATATTGAGGCGGCCTATGATACAGTGTTACGACACAGAATACTTTCCAAAGTACACAAGTACGGCATACGCGGCCGGATGGGCCTCTTTATTAAGAACTTTTTATCGGGTCGTCGGTTCAAAGTCCGAGTTGGCAGTAGTCTTTCGAGCAGTTTTACTCAAGAGAACGGAGTTCCCCAGGGCGGGGTGCTTAGTGTGGCTCTCTTTGCAGTGGCGATTAATGACATCGCTGATGATCTGCCGGTCTCGATCGGTAGATCGCTCTTCGTGGATGATTTTGCCATTTGGTTTGCCGCTTCAAGCGCTCGGCATATGGCCAGACAGCTGCAGCTTGCAGTGACGCGGTTGGAGAGATGGAGTCGTGACAACGGTCTTCGTTTTTCAACAACGAAGACCGTCGCTATGCACTTTTGCCGCCGCCGCTGCGGCGACCTTCCCTTGGGAATCCAGCTCTATGGACAGGTGATTCCTACTCGTCCGGTGGCGAAGTTTCTTGGGATCTTTTTTGACAGTCGTTTAACGTATAAAGAACATTTTAGAACGCTTCGGGAACGATGTTTTAAATCCCTGAACGTTTTAAAATGTGTCGCCCGCACATCTTATGGTGCGGACCGCAGGACCCTTCTTCTTCTATATCGATCTATTGTACGATCGAAGCTAGATTACGCTTCTTTTGTCTACGATTCAGCGAGTGAATCTAGCAAGAGGGTCCTGGATACAGTCCATCATGCAGCACTCCGAGTAGCCACCGGAGCATTCCGCACCTCGCCCAGGAGCAGCATTCTTGCTGAGGCGCATGAACCGCCACTTTCACTCCGCCGTCAGATGTTGGGTATGCGGTACGCGCTGAAACTGCGCCAATTTCCTATGCACCCGACGTACCCATACGTTTTTTCACGGCATGCCACCCGATGTAACGGAAGGTTACGACCCTCGTTCGGAGTGCGCATGAAAGAACTGTTTTCAATAGCTGACATAGCATTGCGTAACGTTCGTCGTACCTGGGCTGCGCCCCCTCCACCGTGGAAAAGTGTCAGTCCACAGGTGGATCTTTCGCTTTCTGCAGTTCCAAAGGGCAAGTTGCTGCCTGCAGAGGCACGAGTCCGAGCCTTGGAACACCTTGCCTCTTACGATGGTTTTATTCCTGTATTCACAGACGGCTCTAAAACACCTGAGGGAGCGGGCTGTTCTTTCGTCGCTGGCGACGATACCCGTTCATTTTCGTTGCCATCTTTCGCCTCGGTGTTTTCATCGGAACTTGTTGCCATCGAGAAGGCTTTGTGTTTTATTGAGGTATCGGACGGACCTTTTTACTTGATTTTATCGGACTCCCTAAGCAGCCTGTTGGCCCTACGGAGTTTTAATCCAGCCGACCCGATCGTTCAAGACATTTTAGCTCGGCTTCAGTCAGTAGAACAATCGGGTAAATCTGTTCAGTTCTGCTGGATTCCCAGTCACGTTGGCGTTCATGGCAATGAGCTGGCAGACGCGGCTGCAAGGCGTGCTGCTGCAGCACCCTGCACTCGTCGGTTGCCATTGCCGGCGCGTGATTTTTACCCTGCTGTACGATCTTTTATTCTAACGGAGTGGCAGGCAGAGTGGCGCCTGCGTGGAGGCAGGAAGCTCCGAGAGGTGAAGCCGACTCTGGAGCATTGGAGGTCTTGCTCGCAAGACAACAGGTCAAACGAAGTGATTTTATGCAGGCTCCGCATCGGTCATACGTATGCGACGCATGGCCACCTTCTCCGCGGAGATGAGCAGCCCGTTTGCGGCGGGTGCGCCGTGCCTCTCACCGTCGCCCACGTGCTTTTATCTTGTCGACGCTTGGAACCGGACCGGACTCGCTACCTGGGCCGCATCGCTCCGGATATCACCGTCCGCCACTTGCTGGGTGACGAGTCACCCTGGGTTTTATCTGGCAACATCTTTTCCTTTATCCGTGCAGTCAAATTCCAAGCGATTTACTCGACCTGACCCAAATCCTCTCTAGTCTCCTTGTCTAGTCAGTTGTCTATTACGACGCTTTTGCGTTGTTTTATTTTACCCTGTCTTTTTTTATAAAGTCTTCTACTTTCTAGTCTTGATATCTATAAAGTTTCTTCTTTTGAAACACTTGTTTTACTAGCGCGACGTTATGGGCGCAAAATGACCTTTGCAGTCGACGCGCCCTAAAGCCCCAATAAACAAACAACAACAATGTGTAGTCCTCTGTGTTGTAGTACTCTGTGTTGCCACTGTACCTTACCCCGCCCATCCGTCCCTCTCTCAGTGAGCTACGGGCGGAGCTGGAACGGCTGCGTCAGGAGCAGAGTACGCCGGTGGCGCCGGCCGCCGGTGAGCCGGCCGATCAGCAGTCTCCCTCCACCGGCACCGACTCGCCCAACGCCATCCGCCACCGGCTGGCCATCACCCAGCTCAAGCGGAAGCTGCAGCAGAAGGAGCTGATGCTGCGCTCCCAGCACAACGAGCTAGAGGAGGCCAAACGGTAAGCGGAGCGCGGCGGTCATCGGCTTGGAACTGCAGGGAAAGGAGGGATTTGTAGTGTACAACAGTCCTGTAGGTCTGGTAAACAGTAATTGGATAAATGAAGATAACAGGCATTTCAATGACTGTCGGACTCTCAGTGATCACCAGCCGGTTTGCGTGTTCTCATCGTCTATTCCCAGTCAGCTGTTTTAGTCCAGCGGTCTGTATCCCGTCCGTTCCGTTTCAGCCGTCTGGCGGAGGGCGGTGGCGCCGCCCGGCCCGCCGCCGCCGCCCGCCCGTCGGCCGGCGTGCCGTTTGTCGGTCACGTGTCGCAGCCGTCGCTGGTGAACCTGCTGCCCGACCCGGCGCTCACCGAGACGGTGGCCTACCCTCTGGCCGAGGGCGACACCACGCTGGGCGCCGCGGAGACGGCCGCTGTCCGACTGCACGGACTGCTAATCGACAAACTGCACTGGTGGGTGGGGACGGGACGAGAGACTGGCCACCTCAAATGCGGTGGGAGACAAAGGTCACTCTGGTGAGGCTGGCTGGGAGGTGAGCCCCGGACAGACAGGTCACTGTGGGGTGCGACGAGCTGGGAAGCGGACTGCCAGGGTGTGTGGGATTTCTGGCCGCAGCTGGGCAGCAGACGAGGACTGTGAGATACTGGGATTGGGCGGTGGATGTGATTTTTACATGAACTTGCCCAGGTTACCCATGACCCGTGTGACCTGTCGGCTGTTGTCCCCAGCTCTGTGACCCGGAGCGGCACACGGGTGACGCTGCACCCCAGCGCCGGCTGTGTGTGCACCGTGAACGGCTCAGAGGTGACGGCGCCGACGGCTCTGCAGCACGGCGACCGGCTCGTGCTCGCCGGAGAGGTGTTCCTCCGGCTCCATCTGCCCGCCCACCCGCTGCTCGGGCTGCGAGACTTCGCCGACGCCAAGGCAGAGCTCGACAGGAAAAACGAGGAAAAGTGAGTGTGTATTCATTCGTGAAATATTGACCATTAATTTCGTGGCTGCCCTTTATAGAAGGAAGCATGCATTTCTTAGAATTGTTGTCATTGAAGCTCAAAATATGTCCTAATAAAAAAATGATCGTAAGTACGACCCCTGCAGTATGTGTGCTGACTGTCGATAGTGTTTGCCGTGTCCCGTGCTGGCCCTGGGCGTTGACGAGTGACCGCCGTCGCGCCTCCAGAGCTGCTCAGGAACAGGAGCGACTGCGCCAGCGGGTGAAGCAGGAGCTGCTCCAGGAGCTGGAGCAGGAGCAGGCCGATGCCGAGCTGGAGAAGCGCGCCCAGCAGATACAGCTCGAGAAGCAGATCGACACGCTCAAGGAACAGCTGGTACGCACGGGATTGAATTGAATGGGAATTAGAGGAATATAGTTTTTCTAGCTCTTTTACAAGACCGCATGCAGTCAAACAGATGGAAAGGAGGACACACAGGTATGCCAGTTCGGGCCCGGGTTTGGCCTTGTAGGCTCGAACCGCTGCTGCCGCTCCTTCCGGCTCGTTTCCGTGCTCCGTCTTCTAATAGTTGCCCATGTGTTTCTCAGGAGCAGCTGAAGGAGCAGGAGCGTCGCCCTCCGGTCCGCTCGACCGACAGCCCGGCCGACTCCTCGTCTCTGAACGTCAGCCTCTACCACTCAGATTTGCTCGAGGTACGGTGTAATCGGTAGCACAGAGGAACGGTCGCACTTATTACAGCTGCCTGTGCAGGACTCTGCGTCGGTTGTTGTGGAATTCTCACTCGCATTGGTCAACGTCGAGTCTCGACACTGAATCTTTGATCCATCTGTCTCGTTGAGTCTGACGATGCGCGTGGCCCGCCCTGCAGCAAATTGAGGGTGTGTTCGGCGACTCGTCGGGCCGCGGCTCGTCGGGCCGCAGCGCTGCTCCCTCTGCCGCTCACCCTCCCGTGTCGGCTCCGGACGCGGCGCGGCTCTCCCAGCTGGTCACCGAGGGCAACGCGCTGCTCCGACGGCTCAACAAAAAAGTGGTGAGTTCTTACGAAATTGCTGAAACATTGTTTGTCTTGAGACCGCTGGCAGGTGTGCCGGCTTACTGTCATTGTCTGACGTCTTATTACTGTTTCCAGTCGTCAATGCATGTGTCGATATTTGATACCATTCAAGAGGCTTGTCAAATGAAGCATTGCATCCTTTTTCAGAGTAATTGGTACCTTTACTTGAGTTCTTTCTGCTCTCCCATTTCCAGACGCTGAGTTCCGACCTGGAGCTGAGCGGCGGCACGCTGCGTCCCGTTGCTATGGTTACGGACGGGGAGCACGGTGTGTGCACCAGCTGGAATCTGGAGACCTTAGAGGACAAGGTGGCTTCGCTCCGACAGCTCTGGGAGGAGGTGAGTTCCCGGGCTCGCTCCGATAATTCTGGGGGAGGTGAGTAAGATATGGTGCGCTAAACGGTCCGAGAGGAGGGAGTCTTTGCCCACCGCCCAGTGCCCATTCATGAATAAAGTATAGTAGATGAACCGCGTGGGACTGAGACTTACACAGCGGTACAAAGAGAATACTAAGCATAGGCAGTGATCGAATGATTGGAATTAAGCTGTGGAATGCACTCACTTGAAGGGATGTAGTAAAGATAATCGCCATTCCACGTTTACGCGAGACTGATGATGTATCGCTACCGTTGCAGCGCGACTCGTCGTCGACCTCGCTGTGCGACGTCAGTGTGGTGCTCGACTCGCGCTCCGGCTGGCGGCAGCAGCACGACCTGCGCCGCAGCGGCCGGCTTGCCGACGACCCGGCCGGCGGCGGCGGCCGGCGCCGCTCCTCAGTCAGGGGCAGACGCTGCAGCGACGGACAGCCAGGTGAGGAATGTAGGGTCAAACGAGGGGATCGGAGGCGGACCGGTGAGCAACAGAGACGAGAGTCGAATACGAGAAAGGTACTGATTGTTACTTCAAGGTGGGAGACAGACAGCTTGGTAGGTGAGATGATTATGAGCCGGTCGGGCCGGTCAGATCCGATCTGATCCGACCGTGACCTGAATCCGAACACCGTCTGCCCTCACAGAGGAGGCGGCGCTGTCGGTGGCTGAGTTCTGTTCGCCGCTGGTACACGAGTGCGCCGACTGGCGGTCGGCCGGCGCGCGGCCCGTCCTGCTCGGTATTCAGGCACTGCAGACAGCACTCGGTGCCGTGGAGGGCGTGTGGCGTCAGCCGGCTCTGCTGCGCGCCCAGGACAGCTTCACAGAGGTGAGACGGAGGGCTACGGGACCGGGATGAGGTAGCGGCCTGGGGAGACTATATCGATGCCCTGATTTACGCCACGGGCCACTACGCCGAGTGATAGCTTTGACCTGTTGGGTCGTCACCCATTTTCGGTATTTTTTGTTCATTTTTTTCATTTTACCGATTACAACTTTTTGCTGGACTGTTTCATAGAACTTTCTACAAATCGCCTGTATATTACCCATGCGTTGTTTACTTCAGGCGCTGGTGGGTCTGTTGTCACGATGGTTCCGGCTGAGCTCGGCTTTCGCTGTGTGGCGGCGCGGCCGTCTCTCCTCCGAAGAGGACGTGGAAGCCTCGATCTCCCAGCTGGATGACGTGATGGACAGGCTGCAGAACGGCATCGGCTTCATCTACCAGGTCAGTGACAGTGCCACAGTGGACAGACTCCGGCTAGCCTCTGCGCCCCATATAGGTCTCACCGGCAACGTTCTGCTGTAGCTGCTGTCCTGTAGTTTGCTATGTGAGCTTTGCTCGGACCGTTAGCAGGGTTTTATCCCATAGAGATCTTATATGCAGATATAGAGATCTGTTTATAAGATCTCTATGTTTTATCCAGCTGTGATCTGTTGTGCGAGCTCAGGTCTGTGACGTTAGCCCGTATCTCCCCGTTGACAGGGTGTCGGCGGCCGAGTGAGCAGCCTGGCCGAGGAGCACCTGTCGGGCTGCCGGCGGCTGACGGTCCGACTCTGCCGACTGATCGGCACCGCCGCCGAGGAGCTCACCGAACCGGAGACCATGGTGAGAACAGTGGACCCGAGAATATGTCAGCTCTCTCGCCGAAATGTGAAAATGGGATAGCGTTGTGGTCAGAGCATTTAGAGTTTGTTCTGGCTGACTTGGCCTCGCGAAGGCTTTAGACTTCCTGCTCTGTCTCTCTGACCCTCCCTTTCCTTTCGCTTGTGTCCTCAGACCAAGAATCTGGCCAGTGACACCCTGGCGAAGCTGACCTCCCCGTCCCCGGCATGTCTCCGTTCCTCAGATTGAGGAGTGAGGGCCTGTCCAGCGACTGAGCTGACTTTCCCTTGTGTTCCTCAGACTGAGGGTTTGTCCACTATCCAGTGACGAACCGACTGAGCTGACTTTCCGTTGTGTTCCTCAGACTGAGGGTCTGTCCAGCGATACCCTGACGGAGCTGACAGCCGGCGCGGTGATGGCGCTCGACCACGCCATGCTCCAACTGATCCGCAGCTGCGAGGACGCCGAGGTGCTCATCACAGGTGGGGAAACGCTACGCATTACCGTATTGTTTTATGTTCAGCTGACCTGAAGAGGTCAACTGACCGTTATTCACACCCTCTTTAGCAGAGATATGGGTGCCTGGTCTGGTTATGACTTATAACCGACGTTTGGCTATGAATTTCAGTGTGGTTATGCGATTAAAGTCCGAGACCTAGCTAAGCTTACGAACATCGAACGGTAGGCGTTTGTATGCAGAGGTGGCCCTGCTGCAATACCAAGTACCGGGCAGTGCCCGTATGCATATCAGGTGCAGCTTACCGAGTTTCACACCTTTCACGACTCCACACACAGGTCTGGTGGACGACTCGGTGGCTCCGGAGTCTGCCGACTCCGGCGGCCTGTACTCGGCCGCTCACGAGCTGGTGGCGTGCTTACGGAGCTGGCTGCAGCGGGGGCGGACTGTGCAGGTTAGTTGCGTACAGCTGCGAACGGAGCTGAGGTTATTACGAGCGAGCGAGCGAGTTCATATTGAATTAAGGGAAAATCCTGAGTATGAGCGGCCGGCCGGCCGTGGGGACGCTCTTCAAAAGCTAATATCTTCCGATTGACAAGCGGTCTTCTTTACTGAATGTCACTTGGACGTAAAAGTTCTGTGGTGTGATGGCCACCATGCGTTCTTGCCAACCACCGCACGTGGCGCGTGGTAAAGTTGGACATTTTTTAAGAACCCCAAAATTGCAACCTCAATAACGGCACAACGGTTGGGCCGATTGAATTGAAACTCGGTACACAGTTAGGTCTCCATCAGATAATTCATCTGCATGTGTTAAGGTTAGGGTGCTACTGCACGTGCGCACGTGCAGGGGGCGTTTCCAGATCTCGAGAACGGCTGGGCCGATTGCGTTCAAATTTGGTACACGGTTGGGGACCGGTTAGTAGGGTGCCGTGCAAAAGTCATTTTGGACCCCGTTTGCACGTGCGCACGTGCAGAATGCCGCTTCCAGATCTCAGGAACGGCTGGGCCGATTATGTTCAAATTTGGCACACCGCTAGCGACCGGTTAGAAGGGTGCTTTCCACAAGCCCGTTGGAAGTACCCTCTCGCCCTTTCGCGCGTGCAGGGCTCACTATCTCGCTCGCTCGTTCTTCGCCCAAAAGGCGTTTTACTGGTCTTAACGTCTCCGAGCGCCTGACACTCACCGCTTGTCGTTCTTAACTTGTCGCTCGCTGCTAAATGTTCATCGCTGATAAGTTAGCGTCGAACACCCATGTAAGTGACGCTCTATAACGTAGCTCTACGTTAATCATAGTGTTGTTGGCCGTTGCAATGTTTTGCTTTCAAAGGAGCGGCCCTTTTGTTATTTTTCAACTCTGTTGTAGTTGATCAACTCTTTTCTGCTCTAGACAGCACTCTGTGGCGTCTTCTTGTATCCGTTGTTCGCCTTCTTCCCATCCTTCTCACATAACACGTCTCCGTGTCGCGGTCAGACGGCAGCGTCTAGCAGTGGCGACTCGTCGGGCAGCAGCGACTCCGACCCTTCTCTCAAATACCGACTGGCCAGCGTGCAGCAGGCGTGCGGCTGGGTGACGGCGCTCAGCTCCGCCGTCAGACTCATCGTGCTCGCCGTCGACCGGCATCACAGAGGTAGGCGAAGATATAGTACAGTAGAGTGGACTGTGTTTGCCGTATGACAGTTGGCCTCTGGTTGAGGTGGGCTAGTGTGTCCGTGTGAGTGTTGAGTGTTGACGTTGTACTGATGTGGAGTATATATTGCTATAATAATACCGGTTGACATGTTTTAGTGCCGGATCGGGTAGTTAGCTACGGCACTGCAGAACTGTCAGTTGCGCTTTTCATGGCCTTCCTATCATGACTATGTTGCCCTTTTATCACCGCGGCGTCGTGTCCCTGTCTCACAGGCGCCCGGCTGGACCGGGCCACGCTGTGTGACGCCGTCCGGAAGCTGCTGCACTCGTGCCGCCGCCTGACGCCGGCGCTGGCCGCCGCCCGCAGTGCGTCGGCCGGCGGCGGCCGGCGCTCGGCCGACGCCGGGCTGCGCCAGGGCCGCTCGGAGCTGGCGGCCGCCGCCGGCGCCGTGCTCCGGCACCTGGACGCCGCCGACGACTCGGCCAGCACGGTGCTGAGCGGCGCCAGCGACGGCGGCGCGTCGCGCGCGGCACGCACCCCCGACACCACCATGTTCGGCTCGCTGCTCGACTCGCCGGCCGGGGAGTGTCTCTCGCCGCTGCCCGCCGACCAGATGGCCGCCCGGCTGCGTCAGGCCGTCCGACAGCTGGAGCGCAGTCCCAGCAAGTCGAGTTTGCGCACGCCAGACAGTCCCGTCAAGGGCCGGGTACAGTTCAGTCGGCCGGCGCGCGCGGACCGATCCTAGTGCGGTCGAACGACAGACGGACAGCCCGCCCAGGATCCGCGGGCATGGGAGGGGAGTGGGGAGCAACGGAGAGCAGTCATAGTGAAGTAGATAACTAGTGGAACGCATTGGCGCCGTGTTCGTGACAAACTGTTACGGTACAGTGTAGGCTTGTAATTTTTCCGCGGTATAGCAGTAGGTGACACGTTTGTGTGTGTGCGTGTAGTTATTACGTTCAAGGCTCGGCGTGTAGCGACGTTGCTATGCCTTTTTGCTTCCATTCTACGGTCAGTTGTGGTTAAGTTACAGTAGTGGGCATGACGCCATTCGAATTGTGATGATCTAACCATCTTTACGCTTGAAATCATTGCACATTTCCAGGTATCGGTCGACTCTGACGGACGGACGTGTCATCTGATCTGACGAATCGCTGACTTCACTAGAGTGAATACTGATAATGAGACATAAACGGGCCGCACCGCGTGAACTACCGCTTAGGGCCTCCTAGAGTAACGTCTATCGCCGGTGTCATGGTCTTGTAACGCATGCTTCCCAAAGATTAATGTGTCGGGCTACGTAGGTACTGGTACTGAAGATGAGGTGATCTGACCTTTCGGAATGCGATGCCGTAACATCGTATGATAACGGAGGAGGGTTGTGATTGTGACCAAACGTCCGTCATCAACAATGTGAATGAATACAGTGCATTTGTTGTTTGGTGATGAACTTTCGGAGGACGCTCATGCATCCAGTTGGCTTGGTGTTCGGTTAAAATATGGGAGCGCGTATAGTAACTCGTCACTTTTTCCATAGCATCCGTTCTAGTTTTGCAATCTGTTTGCCTTTTCCAGTACAGCGGATGGTTAGCCTATGGTCACTCACCCGGTTTAGGGCCATGGGGCGATGGTGAATAAACATGGAGCACTCTGGAGCTGTAGGGGAGGGCTCGAGGGGCTACTGGCCGCCCGTCACCGCCTAATAAGCCCTGCAGGGTGGCCAATATGACGTCACTGATCATTCTATGAGGTGCTGCGCCGCCCCAGCGCATCCAGTTAGTTTGATAACCATTTTTTCTGAACATTCATTGATTTTGAAACAAACTTTAGCATTAAAATCAATTATCCGAAGCACTATATCCTCGAACGGTGTCGAACATTCTCTTCCCCTCTCCTCCCCTCCCGCCCCTCCCTCACTTTCCTTCCACACCGTGCCTTCCACATTTTCCCAGGCAGGTTGGGGCGAAAGTGGCGCACGCTGCAAGCACATTGCAGTGGAACCTCTGGAAAGTTTGCTGAGTGTTATTAGTATTTTTCGTAATATTGATAATCTTCTCCTCAATTTGATTGCTTCCAGCATCGTTATTGGTGAGTGCAGCTTTTAATTTATTGGTTTTCCGCGTTCATGGCCATCGGCCCGCGCGCCATGTTCGTCGTTTAACATGTGGTTTATCATCGATAATTAAATGTGAATGAGCCCAAATCTAATTAAAGTTTCTAAAAAATCAGATGACTGTGCTATCTGGGCTTTGTTGCTCATTACAATCACTAAGGTGGAGATATTACAAGACTTTTGAGCTTCAGAACATATGCTTTGGATTACAGAAGAAATTACATTTGATGCCTGCATGCATGCATACCGATACTGGATTTTACGGAGCTATATTATGGATGGTGCCTAATGCTGGACATTTTAGTGGTAGACACATGAACTGTGTGGTGGATTTCTTGGTGGATTTGGGAACATAGCTGTAGGGTTCAAGTGCATTTGCGTCTGGTTTTGATCTTCAAGTGCATCCTTGGCTGTTGTCTGGATTGGTATACTATGCGCCATGCGCTACCTACTAGGCAGACTTCAGGCAATAACATGGATTCAAAGGAGGTGGTTAGGTTATGAGTTGAACATGCAGGACATTGACTTAAAGCCAGTTTTCCACCAGAAAGAATTGTCAGCTGGATATTTTATCTTATCTATTTAAGGCATAAAAGTTGCCGTAAGGTTTCAGCAGCAATGTCATAAAAGAAGGTTTATGTATAAATATAATATTGGTAAGGTTTGCTAGTACTTTTTTACATTAGTGCTCAGTTTTCACATGACTGCAGTGCAGATTAAATTATTGGGCAACTCAGTTGTTGTTGTTGTTGTTCTGGGTTAGGGCGCGTAGCAGCTTGGCTCTTGCGTCCAACTGGGCAACTCAGGCATAGAGTAATTTTGGTGATGTATCTGTTAGTACCATCCTCAAACCATCCATCCTCAATGTGATTTAAATCCAGTACCTATGCTTTGAATTGAGCACCAAATAGGCAATGTCTAATCCTAGCTCACATCTTAAAACCTAAACTGAAACCTAAAATTGGCTTTTCATAATCTAGTATCTTGCAATGGTAAGTTTGTCTAGGATTCATATGTGAGCATGTTGTGTATGAAAAAATTACATGACAAGATTTGAATTATGTTTGCCTTTAAGTCCTGATAACTTTCATTTGGTTGTTAAATTAGTTTTGTGACCTCTCTCTCTCCACATTATGAAATAAGCCATAAGGATATCTATCCAAATATATTTAGTGTGTTATATGAAAATTATTATCTGTTTAGAATTCAGATGTTATACCTTCAAATCACACTGACTAAATCTAATGTGCTAGAAAATGAATAGGTATTGACACATTTGACAGAAAATTCAGTATTCATGGTGGTATGTCCACACTGCAAATTGTGTCTTTATGGGTACCATCTTTCCTTCTCTCTATTCACATCCACTTAACTGTCCCTGAAGTTCCTGACCAATCTGGCAGTATTTAATATATCAAAATTTAGTGAGAATGCTTGCACATGCATGCTGTCAAATTGCAATGTGTTATTGGTGCCTGTACCATAAACACAGGACTGATGAGCGATGACAGACTATCTTATCTTTTTTGCAGCGGAAGTTGAAATGTAAATAAAGAAGGAATTTCAAAAACTCCTGGCCCTCAGTTTACTGGTGCCATCATTCTTAAAATTAGGCAATCATTTAGGAGTATAGTGCAGGCTGCAGACGACGACATTCATGATTGAGAGGATGATGACATGAACCATTTGCTGCTACCTCTGTCACTGTTGTTGCTGTTGTTAGGGAGTACTGTCTTACAGATGTATTATTTTTACACATGCACATTGTGTTATCTGTTTAGGCGTGGGCCACCATGTCGCACCAGCACCGCTACAAGAACACGGGCCTGGACTCGGCCGAGATGCGCCGCCGCCGCGAGGAGGAGGGCATCCAGCTGAGGAAGCAGAAGCGTGAGCAGCAGCTCAACAAGCGCCGCAACGTGACACTGCCAGAGCTGCAGGACGACGAGGTCTCCTCCACCGGAACGGTCTGTCCCAAAAACTCACTGGTTTTTGAATTATGGAAAAGTGCAAGACAGTTGTTTGAATGCTGTCAACATTTATTGTTTGTTTTCCATGCTGCTCTCTTTCTAAAGATGTATTTGTGATGCATGAATCTGTCCACGGAAAAAGATGATGCCCTCTCGCCTGCCGCCCTTCTGTGTGACTGTGTTTTCTGTCTACCCGTCAGGAGGTGCCACAGCCGACCATCACCAAGGAGATAGTAGACGCGCTGTACAGCAGCGACCTCGACCAGCAGACGGAGGCCACGCACAAGTTCCGCAAGCTGCTGAGCCGCGAGCCGAACCCGCCCATCGACGAGGTGATCCGTGCCGGCATCGTGCCGCGCTTCGTCGAGTTCCTCAAGGTGGACGACAAGCGGCTCCAGGTGAGAGGCGACGGCGTGGAGTGCCTGGAGGTTCTACTTTCCCCTGTGTCCGACTAGATATCACTGCTCTTTGCTCTTCCAGCAATCATTCAGTAGCTGTATCCAATTACATTACTTGTGGTAAAATTCCTACTTTATGGTTTGCGTGAGTTTGTCTTTAGCTTCTAAAGCAGCACGATGTAAATATGACCACGTCATGGAGTAGTATGATGCTTATGTCGACCGCTTACATTATGTTTTTAGACATATATCCGCCTATCAATGAAGTTCATGCCGTCCGTAGTAACTGTCTGTGCGGTGACCACCGATTCCACTGTGTGCTCGCTGATTCCTTCCTCTGCCTGCCCTCAGTTCGAGGCGGCCTGGGCGCTGACCAACATCGCGTCCGGCTCGTCGGCTCAGACCCGACGCGTGGTCGAGGCGGGCGCCGTGCCGATCCTCATCGGTTTGCTGCAGTCGCCGCACGAGGACGTGCGCGAACAGTCCGTCTGGGCGCTGGGAAACGTGGCTGGAGACTCCCCCGAGTGTCGCGACTATGTGCTCGAGCAGAAGATGCTGATGCCGCTGCTGCAGTGAGTGACTCCATTGGATCAGTGGTGTTTGTTGCACGGGGAACTCGCAACTGCGTTTAACTTTTTAACCACATTTTTTGCTGACATTGTCTCGGTAACTGTCTGTTCGCATCGACTTGTATTTGTTGACTTATTATCAGTTCTGAGCCTCTACTGGTTTTATGTGGTATATCTTTGCTCTCTAGTCCTGTCTGGTATTTGTCGGTAAAAACGCATTCTTTAGGACCATATTGAGACATGCATCCTCAGAGCTGTCAGTCTTGTCATTGTAATTTCCTACCGACCCGACCACATGCTGACCGTTCGCTGTGTCGCATCTCGTCAGGATCCTGGCCAACGACTCCCAGCGTCTGACGCTGAAGAGGAACGCCGTCTGGGCGCTGAGCAACCTGTGCCGCGGCAAGAACCCGCCGGCCGACTTTGACAAGGTGTCGCCGTGTCTGCCGGTGCTGGCGCGCCTGCTCTTTGACGCCGACTGCGAGGTGCTGGCTGACACGTGCTGGGCGCTCGGCTATCTCTCCGACGGGCCCAACAACAAGATCCAGGCGGTCATCAACGCCGGCGTGTGCCGCCGCCTCATCGAGCTGCTCATGTGAGAGACTATCCGCGCCGCCGTTCGGGGGGTGGGTGGGGGGGGGGTAGCGGTGAGAATCCCATAGGAGGAAAGGGGGAGAGGGTTTAGTGAACGTCTAGAGCAGTATATTGCACGGTTCGATATTGCACTGCCTCCCTATATTCAGTAATATGATTTAATTGTGTTTTTGCACTGGTTTCCACTTTCCTCTCAGTTATGAACAATGCGTACTGCGTTGGTACTGATCCCCGCTACCCTCCCCTCCGGTGAGCAGTAACAGCGAGCAGTCGGTGGTGTTTGTGTACTGTGTAGTATGTACTGACCTCCGCTACTCTCGCCCCTCTCTGAGCAGTAACGACGAGGTGGTGTATATGGCTGTACTGACCCCCCACTCTCCACCCTTCGCCCCTCTCTGAGCAGTAACAGCGAGCAGTCGGTGGTGAGCGCGGCGCTGCGTGCCGTCGGCAACATCGTCACCGGAGACGACATGCAGACTCAGGTGATCCTCAACTGCCAGGCGCTGCCGTGCCTGCTCTTCCTGCTCAGCTCGTCCAAGGAGAACATCCGCAAGGAGGCCTGCTGGACCATCAGCAACATCACTGCCGGCAACAAGGCGCAGATCCAGGTCCGTGACGCCGCCGCCGCTCACGGGCGCTTCCCAGAACAGCTACTCGGTAACACCTAGACCACTTGAACAATTGTCAACGTAGCAATGGCATCGTAGCACGATAGCTTTGTTATGTTTTGTGTATCCGTGCGATAAGATTCTTTTTTCCTTCAAGTGGTCGACTTGAAGTGGGTGTTGATAAACTGTGCGAATGTTTTTTAGGTGGATCAACCAGCCTGGTAAACGTCTTCATTTGCTTATGCTTCTTGTAATGCCAGACTGTTGTCAGCACTCACGCGTTGCCATGCGTGTCATTAGCAGCGCGTTTCCCACGCCGGGCATCCCGTTCCGTCTGTATTGCCCCCGACTGATATCACCGACCCCGCGTTACCCTCGCTGTGACTGACCGTCCTGTCCCCACTGCCCGCCTCTGACTGACCGTCCTGTTCCCGCCGCAGGAGGTGATTGACGCCAACATCTTCCCGGTGCTGATCGAGATTCTGTGGAGGGCCGACTTCCGCACGCGCAAGGAGGCCGCCTGGGCCATCACCAACGCCACCACGGGCGGCACGGCCGACCAGATCAAGTACCTGGTGCAGCAGGTGAGCGCGCCGACCGTCGGCAGGGTGCCATTACGGGGGGAATGGTGGGTCTCGTGAATGTTGTCTGGTGCAACGATAGCCGTTATGCGCTGTTGTGATCTCGTAGACTCCTCTAAGATCCGTCTGCAAATGCAAAATCTTTGCGAAACCCTAGTCCCATCCTCAGTAATTCATCCACGTTTGTTTACTCTGGTCTTTGGGTGGACTCAGTTTGCCGAACTTCTGACTCTATAATCAGTCCAGCGGGGATCCCACGCTTACCTTGACCACGAGCCCGTGTTTGATTGAATTTCATCTCATTGCTGTCGTCCCCGTGCACTGAGGGATCCCTGGTTGGCCTCTGGAGCCCGTCAATGTTCCCAGCTGACCGCCGTACCCCTCTGCCGTCAGAACTGCATCCCGCCGCTGTGCGAGCTGCTCACCGTGATGGACCCCAAGATCATCCAGGTGGCGCTCAACGGCCTGGTCAACATCCTCAAACTGGGAGAGGCCGAGGCCAAACAGTCGGGACAGAACCCGTACGCCGTCATGATCGAGGAGTGCTACGGTGAGTTGCTGTCGCGGGGACGGAGATGGGACGCAGAATATGTCGTCATGATCTGAATGTCGTATTAAGTGCAGGCGCCGCATGAATGGACACTTTTTTTCGCTCAAATTCTATTCCGCTAAACCATCCTCCCGCAGGTTTGGACAAGATCGAATTCCTGCAGTCGAACAAGAACCAGGAGATCTACCAGAAGGCGTTCGACATTATCGAGACGTACTTTGGCAGCGAGGAGGAGGTGGCCCAGGTTGCGCCGGCCGACTCTCACGGCGAGTACGAGTTCTCGGCGCCCAGCGACGCGCCCACCAACATCCAGTTCTAGCGGCGCCCCTCGCGCGTCCTCTAGTCAGCCGGTGGCCGCCCCCGACCGACCGACCGTGGCGCCATGCGCGCGCCACACGCAAACTGACTGTGATACACTGAGAGCAGCGCGTGCCTGACGTCCGAGTGCTGACTGGGAGTGAGTGGCTGAGTGGGAGTGTCTGAGTGAGCGCCTGCGCGGACCGGACGAGTGTGATGCGGACGAACGCGGGTACTGGCAGGCGGGACGGGCCCGCCTGTCTTCTCTCCCCTGTGTTTGTGTGCAGTGTGCGTCTGTGGGACTGAGTGGAATACGGCCGGCCGTGACGCGACGGGCCTGTTTTATACGTGTGTCTGCCGCGCGCCGGCCGCTGAGCGCGGACCGGCGGTCTCTGGGTGAGGGTGAGTGAGCGGGGAGTGCGGTGGTGAGTGAGCTGGTGAGAGGGGCCCGCCGACGGGCCGAGTTGACACAGTGACGGACGGACGGACGGACCTGCGCGGCACAGCCGGGGGCTGCCGCGACCGACGCCACCCTGCCGACGTTTTACCCCCGGAGCCGAGCGGCGCGCCGGAGCCGAGCGGCGCGCCGGCGCCGGACCAGCGGCTGGACACGGTCCGACCGCCGGCAGCGCCGCTCCACGGTCTGATAACACAACGTCGATTTTGTTAATAATTTATGGAGATATTTGCACGATTGTAAGACTTTTCTTTGTGCCTCAATAAACGTTTAATCCATCTGTTCGCCAGATGTTTAAGCTATACTTGTTTTGTGTTCTCGCATCAGTAACATTCAGCGCCTGTAAGGCTACGTGAGTTGTTTCTTGTGGACGGCGTAAACTGGCTCCGCGGGTATATCGTTTCAATTCTGCGCGTTTCAATGCTGCGTAACTTTTCTGTGCATACTTGTTTCGGTTAAATCCGCCCACCGTGTCTACAGCATCCTGTATTGTATTCAAAGCTCTGTAGCCGTGGTAGCCTATAGTTGTATGGCTAATCGGTCTGTAAAATGGCACGGTGTTGCAGCTTGGCGTTTATCTCGCGCTCTTGGAACATTGTCACCAGTGCGACTCCGTGGTAACCTTGCTGCCTCTCGGAAATGCCGCCAGAGGTTGGTGGTATTCGAGTATGAGTGCAGAAGACTGGTGTTCTGGAAACTCACATTATCATGGTCTCCCTGGGCTGTCTGGCGCTTAAATCGTCAGTTCTTCTGACTCTAATAGAAATTGTTGCAACGTCATTTGAGATGCCTGGGAAGTGAACTTACCGTGTTTGGCAATAATATAAAGTTCACCGATGTTAGGGATCTCGATTCGATGCGCTGCTCCGCTAGCCTCTGATTGACCAGCCGCTCCTATCAGATAGCAATTGTCACTCGCGGGTTAAGCTGACATCCCGTTCGTGATTGCGTCTCACGCCAATGTCTGAGTTCGGCTCTCGGCAGCCACCCGTGCCCACAGTGTTGGGGTGTAGTAGGTACCGAGCCGTGCTCGGAGCCCGGGTCCGGTCGGCGCCGCGCCATCTGACGCCGGTGGGGGAAGTCGCAGTGGGCCGTGCGGCCACCAGGCGGGCCGGGAAGGGTTGTGTGAGCGCCGGTATCGGTGTGGGACGGGTGGCGGCGGCGGCACGCAGGGCCGTCAGTGGTGGCCGGCCGGCCGCGCGGCGCGTGTGGGACCCTCGGCCGGTGCAGAGGGAGAGAGCGGCACGCAGCCGGGAGATGACGGACACGGCGGGCGAGCCGGAGCAGTTCTGGGACGGCGCGGCGGCCAGCTTCAGCCCCGGCTACGGGGCGCAGAGCTGTCCGGAGCAGCCGGCGCCGCCGCCCACCTCCGAGCAACAGCAGCAGCCGGCAGCGGCGGCGGCCGGGGGCAAGGCGCGCGGCTCCAGCCGCCGGAACGCCTGGGGGCCGCACAGCTACGCCGACCTGATCACGCAGGCGATCCTCAGCACGCCGGAGCGCCGCCTCACGCTGGCCCAGGTCTACGAGTGGATGGTGGCCAACATCCCCTGGTTCAAGGATAAGGGCGACAGCACCAGTTCGGCAGGATGGAAGGTGGGTCCAGGGGACCGGGACTGCGGGCCGCAGCACAGCGTACTGATCGTCCAGGGTGTGAATGCATGAGAACCGTTTGTGTGAGACTCCGTAAACCGTGAAATATGACCATGTACGAGGGGGTATCGAAAAGTTCTGATCATCACATAGAAAATATAGACCGATTTTGATGATTTTTGGTGGGTATTATATTTGGTTCTTAAGAACAATGCTCCCGCAAAGAGAATCCTGAGAAGTGGTTTTATCTTATGTAGGAGAGACTTAGAAGTAAAAAAGATGAGTATTGGGCCCATTGAGGACCGAACCGTCATTCAACTAATGCATTTGAAACGGTATCACACTGAGAAAATACATCAAGAACGTGAAATTAGTTTATGGCGAGGAAAGCCCATCTCATGCACTTACCGAAAATGAAGACATAATTTTCAACTTGGTTGCATGGCCCTTGCAGGGGAGTCAAGAAGTGAGTGACTACCAGTGACTGCCAAGGTGGTGAATGTGAAGGAAGTGGAAGACCTCGTCCTTACAGATCGTCGTGTGACCTTTCAGATGATTGTGCAACAGAAAGGTCTCAATGCTGGCAGTGCCTGAAAATATTATCAGCGAAGAACTACAGACGATAAAGGAGTCAGCCCGCTTAGAAGTTAATGTGTCTACTTTGTTCAAGAGAAAAATGCGTCTTGGCCTTTCGAAATGAAAACTAGGCCTTTTTTAGGAAATTGAAGACACCTTCGAACATTTGATGACTTGTGACGAATGCTGGGTCTATGTGTATGATCCAGAGACAAAAAGATGATCAAGAAGTTTAAGCACGGCATATCTGTCCTTCTTAAAAGGCGAAGATGCAGAAGCCGATATGGAAGGTCAATGCTATCAGTGTTCTGGATCTGGCGTAGAATAGTCATTACCGACTGTCTTGATGATGGTCGGATAATGATAAGCAAGCACTACTGCACACTTTTGAAGAAGTTGCGAGATGGCCTCAAGCAGAATCGCCGCAAAAAAAGCCCAAGAAAGATGTTTTATCCGCACCGACAGCGCCCCCGCCCATTCGTCCTGAGCTGCGATTGAAGAAACAACATGATGTGGACATTAAATCCTACCGCATCTAAGAAATTCACCTGACCGGGTATTAACTGACTCTTGATTGTTACGGGACATGAAGAATCCACAGTATGGCCGGTGATTTAAGGACAGAAATGACGTCATTGATGAGGTGGAGCAGTGATTTACGGGGCAGTGCGAAGGTCCTACAATGACCGCCTGAGGCAGCTCAAGAAGCAATGCAATAAGTTTGCAGTCGTGTGTGGTGACTTGTATAGGAGTAATGAACATCATGTAAAAAATTCAAATTTCTATTACATCTAATTCATGGTGATGATCAGAACTTTTCGATACCCCCTCGTATTTCCTGGTCACGAAGTCGCGGTTATTCATGCTTGAACCACAAGGCTCAACTTTTTTATTGGGAAGCTGTTGAATGTTTCGTGTCGCTACGTGCACCGTCTGGAATGGTGCCTTTTCGATCAGCGTTGAGCTCAGAACTTATAATTATGCCTACCGGGCAACACAAGCATCTTGGTATTGTTTGCGTCGATCAACATGCAAATAGGTAAAGTTCGTGAAGCAGCCGGGTTGAGTTGAGATAAACAACTGCACCTGTTTATTGTATACCTAATGGTAATTCACATGTTGTCTAGTGCACTGGTCTCAGTACGGGTCAGTACAAGGCAGTCTCGTACTGGCGGGATATCTCAACTCTCGGTGAGCGTGCGCCCGGCTGGTTTTGCGGCCGAGGGACCTCGATGAACGTACGCGTGCAGACTCTTCTGCTGTGATGGACAGGCGCATGCCGCCGTCTCAGGTCGGAGCAGTGGCTCTGCAGTGTCCGTGGTCGCTCCTCGACCGATCGGTGCAGGCGGTGATGGCGGCCAGCCGCGGTAGCCGCGCCGCTTTCACAGGAGCGGCCGGTGTCGGCGGGCTGTGATCGGGTGGCACTGGGACTGCTAGGAACGGCAGGCTCTCTTCTCCGTCTGGAATTGTTCCATTCCATCCTGGACTCCTCTGAACACCTCTCCGTTTTTCCGCTCCGTCTGGGGTCCTCTGAAGTCATCTCTCCTCCGTCTCCAGTCTCCACTGCGTCCTGGACTACTCTGAACGTCTATCCACTCCTTCCAAATCTATCATTCCTCTCACTCTTCGTCTGAACGTCTCTTCTCTCTTGGGCTCCTCGGAGCAAATATTACTTTAATCATACTCGGAGCGTCTCTTCACTCCATTCGGGTCTCTTCGAAGCGTCTCCTCTCTCCCTCCGTTGCTCATCTGGAAGTTTCTCTGACCTGACTTGATGACCTGAATCCAGATCTCTGGTGCTCACCCCACCCGACCTGGCTGTGCGCACCAGCTGACTAAGCCTGCACCTTGTCCGCTGCGATCTAGTGCGGCTGTCGCTGGCTCCGCTATCGGCCGAGCTGCCCCGGCGGCCGACTTGTGACCGGCCCCGACCCTATACCCGGGTGTGCAGCGCCGCCGGCACTTGGCTGTGACCACGCGCCGCCCAAGGTAGCGTTTTTCTGGCCGCAGGCACTCTCACTCTCTGGCGGGAGCGGGTCGGCAACGCACTGCGCCGGTACTCACTCACTGCGCACCGGAGGCAAAAACGCCGCTCGGCCCGATGAATGGAGCCGGCGCGGCGCCGCGCTGAGCCGCTTTTTACCGCAGTGCCGCGCGCGCGCGACCCGCTTCCGCGAGCGCCGCCGAAAGAAAGCGTCAAAACGCGCCCGGTAAAAAACGGACCACCGACAGGTGTAAGCGCCTTGCACAGCCGGAAAAGAATCTTCTCGGACAGTGTCTATTTATATGGGGTTTCGAAGTCTCGAAACATAACTGGAGACATCAGCTCTCCGGGGAAAAGCATTTGACCATGGCTAGCTGTATTTCTAACAGATTGACTCCTAGATAAGGAGAGAGATCGAATGCTCATGTTCTTGTTGGGTGCTTGGGATGTTGATGGTATGGCTCTCCAGGACCTCGGCTCGCTGGTCAGCGCCGCAGTGTCTGTTTCACTCCTGCTGCTACGGACCTCGCCCGCCTCTTGGTCAGCGCTGCAGCGGCGGTCTCGCCCTCGGTGTCGGCTGGGAGCCCGGTCGGCCCTGTATATGCCCATCCGTCAGTCAGTCCCATCTGTCCGCCTCTGGCTGCAATGCGAGGGCGTTCTGCATGCTGTCAGGTCTGCGGCGGGCGTTTTTGTCGCCGGCGGCGAGCATCTCGCGCCAAGGTCGGCCTTGGCAGATCCTCCCTCTCTCGGCCGTGGTGCCAACAGGCGCCGCCGCCGCCGCCGCCACCGCCGTCCCGGCCCACGCCTCCTTGCAACACAGGACGCCCCTCAGCAGTCCCACTCGCCCTGTAATATATTCCCCTCACATGCCCCCTCCCGTGGCCGGTTTTCGCCCATACAGGTTCCTTCTTTTTCGATCGTCTTTTCGCAGCCTCGTCCTCGTTCTCGGCCGTCTCTTCCTTACATAGGTATGTACAGGTCTCGCGGGTTTTAACGGTAGGTTTTGCACCTAGAAAATTTAGTGTACTTCAGGCTATATCTTCGTCGTTTTAAGTGTTGAAGATGCGATCGACTTGTTGGTTCACAAGCCGGCCATGATCGTGTAAAATGGCTTCATCGTAGATCGATTAGTTTCTGAGATATAACCGGAAATGTAAAAGTGCAAAACCTACCGCTTAATCTCGCGAGAGCCGTACCTGTTATGGCAAACTCTTCTTTTCGTACCCTGCCTCACCCGTTATCGATGTTTCCTCCCTTCCCTACAACTGTCTTTTCTCGCAATCTCTTCCGGCTCCATTTTAGAGTTCTCGCCCTGTGGCCATCTCGGGATGCGCCGCCTCTGTCCATCAGGGGATATGAAGATCTGCACGAGACCTGTCAGTGTTGGTGTGTGTGTGTTCAGCATGCACCCCGAACCGAGTCGACAGGGCCGGCTGCCCCTCTGTCCGCTTGCTGCGCGGCTGACGCGACGTCGCCGCGTCCCTTTTGTCACAGCGCGGTCAGGGCCAGACTCGCCTTCCGGGTCCGGTCCCGTCTTCTGACGCGGTCCTCGGGGAGGTCACGGCGGGTGCTCGGGTTCCGGGCACGGGACTGGTGCAGATAGTGCCATCGGTGCCGTTTAATACGGACGCATGCGATCTGAAGTAACCAATGTCACGTTTTGTTTTTATGCGCGTAATGCGTATTAT